GTTCTTACTAATTCGGGGACGAGGCGGAAGGAGAACTTAATGCTAAAAGACAACAGCCCTGGGTTCTATTACTAAATGTTAAACCTTGATTTATCTGAAGAAGGGGTATCTGTGACTATCCTTAATAAAAGGGTTTAAAAAACGCCTACCTTTGGAAACAACCCTAGTCCCGTGTTCTACAGGAACGTTATTAACTCCTGAAGTGCCACTAGCCGTGAAACAATTGAAAGCGTTCGTTACGGGTTTACGTACGGTGCATGCATGAAGATATCAATGAAGTGAACAAACTATACCTAATCCACCTCTTTACTACCTAGATGGAATCCAGATAGGTATGGCTGGGTAGCTATAAAGTAAGAATGGATTGGCGAGATAAAACAGATGTAAAACCCTATTCGCAAAAAAAAAAACTATTTAAGACATCGTCCTTTTCCAATGATTGCCTTTAGACCAGTTTTCTTTCTACTAACGATGGACATGGGTGACGGTCTGTGCACCCCTCCCCCTTCCTTTAACACAATTTCCAAACGGGTCAAAACTCCAGATCCAGTGGAATTGCTTTGGCTTTGTAGTCAAATATCTTCCCAATTGAACGCATCTTCGATAGCTGAAGCGGTAGATTCGTGGGTCTTTTTCTTACAGCCCCGGCTACGTTATGCCAGCCGACGCGGGTTAACCAATGGGACCGTTGAAAGGTACTATGTCACGCTTTGATTATTTGTTTAACTGTTTTGTTTTCACGGCTACTCCAGGCTCCGAGAGTATACAGTCGCTGGGTGGTCTGGCCTTTCCCTCCCTCAGCCCTTCCGTAAGTCAATGATAAGCAGCCTACCCTGGTACTATGCCTTCTTTCGTCTTCAGGGAAATATTGGGATGGTACATTTGACACATGTAAAGTAATCACACATAGTTACCGTGGTAGAAGTTATGACACTGACATATAGAGGAGGAGCTGGGGCTTCTGGCAGGGCCTGGAGGACATACGACGAAACAGAAACTCAATCTGTGGGAAATTAGGTACCCAAAAGGGGAGCTAAACGAACTATCAAACTAATGTACCAAAATAAAATCCTTTTCTCTTTTTTCTAGCGATGTGACCGTACTTTAGCTAACTGTAGCTTCAGTGTAGCACGGACGTTACAAATTCATTGCAAGTGTTTAGTCAATTTGCATTAATTTACTTTAATTCTTGTGTAATGTACGAGACAATTTTTCATTTATGTTAGCTTGAAATTTTGCATAAGTGTAGCACTATCTTCAACTAATGAATAGTAGCACGATATATCGTCATTGTATTGTATTGTTTATGTATAAAAGCTCACTAACGGGGTTTTCAAGTTTAGTTGTCAATCATTGGGACATAAGGAACCAGGACTCCACCAAATCCGATTGCTACATCGATCTGCGGACCCTGTACTGCCGACAGCTAGGATACACCAATTTCCAATTAACCTGGTCCATTTGTCCAGAAGCCAGTCCTGCAGTCGACACAACCACAATTTGACCCTAGAAAGCTTCAATATTACCTTTATACCGGGGAGATGCGGCAGGTATTTACAATTTCATACAAGGTTCCTAATTCTAACTCGAAATTTGGAGTTACAAATTTCAGCTTTGAATGATTGCTGCTAGCTTGAGCTCACATTATGAACAACATTACCCCCTCTAATTTTCAAAAGCGTTATAAAATTATAAATAGGTGGGTTTTGTAAATATTTTCATTTTTAGAACGGAGGAAGTGCGGACTTAGTTGGGATCGAAAGTGATCAAGCGGCAGCTAGGTCCAGCGAGGGCGTCTAGCCAGTGATGAGCATTATCCGGTCTATGCCCGTACTCCTATGCAGAGAAACACGCCAAAAGAAATATTTCTATTGCATTAAAAATGAACAGCAATGAATATGCAGGATTCTGTTTTGACAGCCAAATTATACTGTGACCTAACATTATGCCATAGGCGGTTATTACTACCAGTACCCGCAGCTTTTTTCGATTCCCCCAGAAGTATATTTGTGGCATGAATAGGAAACATTTTTGTCTCGCAGGCCATCCTTACAGGCACTAGTCCCAGTAAAATCATATTTAAAAGTGTGCTACCAACTTCAACTAGGGATATGATGTCCCTGGCTTTTCATGCCGTTCCTGTTAATTGCCATATTAAAAAGCATCTGCATCAGTTTCCATGAACAGCAAATAAACTCTCGTAATACATTACCTAGGACAGAGCAAAACAACCAACTTGATAATCACCGAAACAAGCACGGAACTGCAGCAATATTTAAGTAGCCTTATTATCCAAGCGATGCTGCAACGCTTGACACGAATTAGCGAGGAAGAAGACAGCGGTTGAGGCTCACAGCACGTTAAAATAATGTATCGCCAGTCCGTAAAGTTGAAACGTACTATTATATCGTTACTATTCCATGCGTAAGAAGTTACTATGATCCTAGATAACTACAACCGACTGCGCGGAGGTGCGACAGGAAGGTACGCCATTGGCCCACGCAAGAGGTCGTCATAAAGTACTCACCGGGTAGACGAAAGACGAGGATAAGGCTCGAAGCTGAATGCCACCCGCCATTTTATGGGTCTATGAACCTCGAGTCACGTCCACCTATGTCCCTAAGCGCGCCAGCTCCATCTGTAATGTCGACGTTTTTGCGGCCTACACTGTCAAGAGTAACTGAGACATCCAAAACCGCTTTTACCCCAAAAAAAACGAAAAAAACGCAAATCAGTATTGATAAAAAACAGCCCTTTTTTATCATTGGCAAGTTTTCTTTGTCTAAAAGCTACTGCCGGATGCGGAAGCCTCCTTCTTTTGTTTCTTTTTCTCCGTCTCCTCTTCGCGCTCCCGTTCAATCGCCTTCACGTACTCCTCAATCTCCTCCGTTGTAAGCATCTATTCAAACGACAAAGTATAAGAAGGGTCAAGTCCGTGGGCAACCGGGTGTTTTTTAAAGTACTGCATCGATTTTCACAGCGTTCAGTGTTATGTATGCGCTTTGGAGCATCCAATGCTCCCATAGTGAGCATACTTTTAGGCTCTTAAATTTATCAACACCGACACAAGTAATTACGGCATTACATATGCAAAGTTATTTTGACGTCTGAAATAAAATACAAACACTTGATTTTGAGAAGAGAAACCATCACAAAGGACTAGTTTACGCTGATTTGCTCAACAAACTCAGCAAATGGCACGAAGAGCCGGTAGGAATTATGGTGAATAGCATATTTTTTGAATACGAACATGTCCAGTGTACTATTGTTAAGCTCCAAGACCCTCAATGGAACACCTTTATTTCCAGTGCTACATTAAGTGTACTAATTATTAGCGAGTATCCACAGTTATCGCACTGTTTGCCCTGCTTTAATTCGAGAAAAATCATAAATCACAGATACTAGGGAAGCATCTGTGAGCTGAAACCATTAAATACACTTCTGGTGTCACTAAGTCTGCCTGTTACCAAAACATTTCTAAGCATATTTTCGCAAAATAACCATCTACAAGGCTTTCATTTTTGCTTACATGAAGTTGAAGAATAAGCAAAAACATCACTCAATTAGTAAGACTGAAAAAAAAACAAGAAATAAGACACTTGGCTTTGAGGACCGTCACAAGTGCTGTGTTTTGGTAAGTAGCAGCATTGAAGAAATTAACAAAACACAAGCAACAGGCACCAATACGCCTCCTCGCCGCTTTGACAACCATGGAGATAAAAAATACACGAACTGAATAATGGAATCACGGGTCATTTCAGTTCACCACATGGTGGGCTAACAAGAATGGGGATTTATTACATGAAAAGTTACGAGTCGCCGATAAAGCTAGCCAAACGCTTGCTCTTTGCATCTTTAAACACAAAAAAGACAACTCAAATGTCCCTAAAGGTTGGGTATCTAGGGTTTATATGCTAGCATCATTTATAAGTAATTCACTAGACATATGAAATAATATCGGCAAAATTTAATCCTTGAAACAAGACAAACACGTCAAAAACACAAAAATGGGAAAGAAATTTGGGGAATAAATTCCAGTTAGTACATTTCAAACAAAGGAAAATGATATCCTTGTAAAGCTACTGAGGTGAATAGAAATCGGATGCAATTAGTGAAAAATTGTATAACAGAAATACTAGATTGGATCATACGTAAATTGGTGAGCTACATTAGATTATGTAGACAAATTTCGGAATAGCACAATCATGATCAGTGAAAGTCACGCATCTTATAAGCTAAATGCGTTTACAAACAAATAAACCAACCCACCTTCCATTCCGCAATGGGTTCTCCAGGTTTGTAATCTGATCTTCGCCTCATTACCCCCAATTCCATGTGCTTTGCACCGGTCTGCACAACTTCGAACAGAGCCTTAACGGCTAGTTTGATGGTGGCCTCCTGTGTTGTGACAGCAGCTTCTGAGTAATTTTTCTCCAAGAATTCACGCGCAGCCTTCGAATTCTTACCGATTGCGTTGGCCTACAACCCAGAGAGTTGTTAATTTACAAAATTGTACCAGCCATTCAAAATGGGTTCCTGAAGGATCAGTCTGGTAAAGGTGAGTAGAACCATCTTGATTTACACCACACAGGAGTGTGGACACCCCGAAAGGTCTACGACCGTTGCTTTGAGTATACTTCTGCTTCAACTGTGCCATGTGTCGAGCAATGTATTCCACAGAGACAGGATCCTCGACGGTTAAGCGGTAGCTTTTGCACTCAATTCGCATTCTGTCAATAAGTATCCTTGCATCGGCAGTGAGCCCTGCAAAGGCAACCGCTATATGTTCGTCAAGAAGAGAGATTTTGTGAACAGTCCTGTCATTTTGGAGTTTAGTCGTAGCTTTTTTCTCGACACAAAGCACTACACAGTCTGCACCTTTTACGCCAACCTAAAAAATTACCCTTGTTCCATAAAACTTACGGCAGTAGACCCCTTTTTGACCGCTTCTTGGGCATACTCAACTTGAAACAAATGTCCATCAGGGGAAAACACGGTAATCGCCCTGTCATACCTCGCGGTCATGATTATTATACAAGGCACCCGACACGCGCGCGCAAATTGCAACGCATTCAAAACTCTGTCAGGCAATAATCTTAGGAGTTTAATATTCAAATAACACCCAGTCACTTTTTATAAAAAGCAAAAAAAAACTTGCTTAAATGCGTTTAAAAATCGTTTATTTTTGATCAAACAATCCCGTTCTATATGAAATACGATAGTGGTTTATCCCTCGGTTCTGGTGAGGCGCCACTTTTGTACTTTGAATTGGCCTCCTTGTACCTCACTGGGTTAGCTGGCCTTTTGGGCCATGCCAATAGCCCAGACACCTCCTCTGCGCTGAATATATATTCTGCCCGAGTATTTTGTCTTCTTTCGTCTCCAGGGGGTCCCGGGACGTTACATAAGATTTTCAAATTCCGCTTTAATTTTCCCGAAACCATGCCAAGTAAGTAGTTTAGGTATGTGGCCAAAAGCAATGATTGCAAAAAAGGAGTCATTTTGCTTTTTTTACCTATTACAAGCAAAATATCGGTGATTTGTATTTGCTGTTGTTCCTAGTTGGGTTAATTACTTCAACCGACGAACACTTCGAAGGAGTTTAGATTCCGCCACAAATTACTGTCTATGTAACGTTTCGAGTCTTGGTGGTAGAAGTATGGTGTATTTGAACAACCGACAAAATAGGTTATGTGTAAAAGTACGGAAGATGTGTATCCGCACACAAACACCTGCCTCGCCCTTTATAGGGGCTAGTAACATCAGGCACTGGTGCCTAAGCGCAGATGGTGCAAGGCTCTCTCGTCATGAAGGACCTGCATGCAAATATTCATCGTCTTATAAACATATTTTCAGTTCAGCAGCTTTAAACTGTCTGCCAATACTAGCTGCAAGGTGTCTATAGGCTATAACACTAGTAAAAATGGCAATGTGTAAACATATGCAAGTAACGGTTATATTAACGTTGACTCAAAGTGGATTTAATCAGTAAGTAGGCGAATCCACAGTGATTTTAACCTTTTTTGAAATGTGTAGAAAATAGCGTGCATTAATTTAGTGGGCAAGAAACGAAACACTCATAACTCAATATAGGGTGTATTTTATTTTATTTCAAGCTGAATATTCTTGAGGTAGGCACGAAGCGAATGCCCACTTAAACCATTGAGACCGGTTGACGTGAGAATGTCAGAGGCTACCCACTCAGTAGTTGGTCTTACCTAACGCAGCCGATATCAAAACTACTGCTGGATGCCAGAAAGACTTCCTGACCTTATTAAAGCAGCTTTCCGCACCTAATAAAATCTCATTATGGGTGATCAACGGAACGGTATTTAACCGGTGATAGGTCATTATTAGCTTGCCTCCATGATTGACAAATTTATTGCAGGGAAGATGGTAAATGCAGTTTTAAAGTAAATGGGAGTACTGGCTACCAATTCCACTTTGCACCTAAGAGTGAGAAAGAGTTGGACATTTTTGAATGATAAAAAATAGGAAGTTAAGGAAACGGTGAATGAACTCTGAAGTGTGACATAGAAATATCATTTTCGCCTATATCAAGAGCTCTGAAATCGTAGGATTCTCCATCGACATAAGGCTGTGCAGATTAATAATTTGGCATTTTTAATAAAGTGAACAGGAGCAGATTGATGCACGAATCGAAAAATACAAATTTAGTGCTTTCGGAAAATCGCTAGAATACCTCCAGTTAGTAAAACCAGATTTAAATTTTCAATTAGAAGGTGAACCGGTGGCAGTGTCGAAGCAGTAAAGTAATGCGAGCAGAAAAAAAGCAACCATATCAGGTCGACGAGTAAAATGTGAGGGCGTGTATAAGAATTCCCAAGTAGATAACTTAAGACGTGAGGCAGATAAGTGGGTATTTTATCGTTAATAGAAAGGCAGGTAATGCACTGATGAGTGGAAACATGGAGCACCGACTAAACCAACAAGAAAAACTAATTAGAACTGTCATAAGAAAAGCGGAAGACTTTGAGCCGTAGCGCTTTAAATACAACTGGAGAAGGAAAAAAAAATCAAAGAGCCACGTGGGAAAAACTTGTGTTGACTTAGCATACAGATAAAAATGACACAGCTACAGAAGCGTCAAACTTCCAAGTAAATATCCCGAACAGAGACAAGCAAGTCAAGGCTGCCTAGCTGAATTTGCCCAGACATAGCTAAAATTTTCTCAAATGGTCTCGGAATCGTAAATTTCATCCATCTCTAGGCAAAGATTGAGTGTGTATTACGATGGTGGTTTATCCCACTTTTTTAACTTTTGGATTGGCCTTCTTGTACCGGGCTGGGTGAGCTGGCCTTTGGGACAGGTCTGTAGGCCAAACACCTTCTCTGTGCTGAATATGTATTCTGTCTGAGTATTACGTCTACTTTTGTCTTCAGGGAAGTCTCGGGACGCTACAAATGCAGAGTAAAATGCGTCGCAGTGTTCAGAGAATTTTGACTCCATTAGCCACTGATCTCAAAGCTTGTACATATGTCTTCAACAAGCCTGGTATATACTCATAAACTTCAAACAAATCTTCTTCAATAATTTAGTAGCATGTAAACTATGGTAGCACAAACTGCCATGTTCCAAAGGAGAGTGAGTGTAAATAAAGAAGTTACACATTTTGGGATGCGAAGGGCGTAAGTTGTGGCTTAAATCGATGCAGCAATTAAAAAAGGACAAATTTTTTTCAGTGGTAGCAACCACGAACCATATAAGAACCAAAGTCAGCCAGAATCAGGTAAAAATTAAAAAAAGTTTGTATTAATTACAGTGTTGACTATCCATTTCGAAACGAAGCTTGTAGGATTAAAATGGATTGGCATCATACCGCTCATCACTAACTCGTTTTGCCTCGAATACTACTGGTCAATAAATAAAGACATATCTGCTGCTACTTTAAAGTGGTGTTCTAGTGGATGTCTATTTTGAAGAAGATCTTCTCAAGGGATTCTCTTCCAAACGGGAATTTGTCGACAAACGAGGGGTTTTATTTTTTGAAACCAGAGCTTCAAGAAAAGTTATCTTGTGGTGTCAAGTATAATTGTTAGTATTACGTGATTTTCCTCCTAATCGGGTTTTAGTACAGGCAGACTACATAATTATTGTAACCTGTTTGATTTACTTTAACGTCTTGCAGCTTTTCAGCCGACCTTGCAGTATTTTGTTATTCCCTTTTTGTTGCAGTAAAGCTAGTTATCCGAGGAGAACGAAAATCGGGGAAAAGTGCTCTTCTCTCTCGTCTTAAAGGGGAAGCATTCAATTCAAATTATGCACCAACCGATGAAATTAAGGCAAATATTTTAGCTACTTTATTGACTTAGATCTTCTTTTAACCTAGTCGAGTTTCCTTCCTACTTTTCTTCCCAAGCTTTATTCTGGAATTTTTCCCTCATACTTCTAGGTTGCAAACATCTTATGGAACTATCAGCCCACAAATGATGCAGTGAAAGTAGACGTATGGGATGTTGTGGACAAGGGTCGTCAACGGGAGGTTAAACACGGAGCTACAGCTTCGGCATACGTTTCGTTGTTGACTAAAAAATCCCAGGTATTTTGTACGTCGATATTGTTCAACAAGGATATTCTTTTTTTTTCCGAAGTTTAATTGGGCATTCTTTTAGAAACAAGGTTTATAATAAATAGCCTGAGTATTTCGTGGTTAAAGGCCATTATATTTGGTACTGCTAAAAGGTCCTCATTGTTTTTTTTGATGCAATGTCTCTTAATTTTATTGCTTTTTCGTGCAACGTTTTTCGTTCTACCTGTGTTTCGAATTATCTAGATCAGTGATTTTACTTCCACCTTATAGACTACCACGGCTATGGCTTCCCTGGACTCGACATTTATCGACGTCTACAAAGGCGTGAACTGTGTTATTCTGATGTTTGACATGACGAGCAAGTGGTGGGTGATTGCCCAATTAGTTTCTCCCTAAATTTAACTCACTGGCTTTACATACCTAAATTTCTATTTATCAGTACGTCTGCAAAGCATCTTCTGCCGTGAGCATCATTTCAAACGCTTCAGTTTCATTTAGTGTACTTTTTCAGTTGTTGGGATTTCGATACGTCAAATATGCATTTCATGTAAGACTTTGTGCTATTACCCGGAAGTTTGTCTTTTTTTATTTAATAATTTGCTATAGTGGGTGACATAGCAACTTTTGCAATTAGTCCGTCCTCTTTTTGATCGTGACACGCTTTGATACCTGTCTAAATGACGTTACAATCGTTTGTTTTTGGCTTGAAATCAACTTCATTGGCATTCACACAAAACTTTCAGCAGGTTAAGGCACTGTTTTGATGCCTATTTTATACTTGAAGAAAATTTGCTATTCCCTGCTAGAATTTTCCCATGCTCTTCGCGTTATCCATAAATTAGCTGTATTTGTTTTTGTATGTAAGTACTGTGGTTTGCTGGGTTTTGAATTAATTTGAAGAGGATGGAAGCCGTTTCCCTAATGAATAAGTGTACTTCTAAGTTTTGTCATGCGATAAAGGATTCACGCGGACGCTTTTACAAACTCCTCATTGACTTAACAAGTTGTTGGTATCAACTAGTCAAATTGTTCTCATGTGCTTGGATTACCGCACTACCACTGAGGTGTTAGTCTTTCGCAAATTTCGCATATATTTGCCATAAACTTGTTTATTTCCTCTTAAAACATTAAATCTCTTATGTTGAAATCGGCTAACCATTGGGTGATACCTCCTCTCTGTTGTGGATTTGACGTTGAATCAGTGTTTCATCTGCCTAAAGTGATTACTCACTGGTCAAATCCATTTGATTGTTATCACAGGTAATACTACTTTAATATGCTCTAGCTGTCAGTCCTCCACGGGCTCCGATTTTACTTCTCCTTCATGCTCCAGCTCTGCTGGATTCGCTTAGTTTTGCATCGTCACCTACCCATGAACTTGTATCCCGAGAAACCCAAAAATTTTCTCCGAAAATGAATATAAGTGCTCGCTCATTTATGTAGAACCAAAGAATGTGAATACCACGACTATTTGAATGCCATTTTTTATCCCTAATGATGTAGATTTAGACTTGCACTAATAATGGATTTTTGCCAGATTGATCGTTCGTTGCATAGCAAAGCAGATCATCCTACCGTTCGTTAATCAAATCGCTTCCATGAATACCTGTACTGCCGTTCAGGAGCACCGTTTTTACCGTATTTCGAGTCGATAAAGTGGCCATAGGTTCTGTCTTTATATCCACTGGAAGCGTCAACTAAGTTCTAGTATATTCACCTAACTTGTTGGCCAATATTTTGAGAGATTCCAAAGAAATGTTAAGAGTGTCAAACGCTGCTGCTGTCGATTTCTCATCGCTCTCTCTTTTCGGAAAGGACCTTCGAGTACGTGCGTCGAGAACTGCCGAAGGTGCCGCATTCGGTACCAGTTCTGGTGGTTGGGAACTTTCGCGACGCTGTTGCCGCTGATGAAACGAACCGAGAGATCACGGAGACTGAGGTTCGTACTTTCATTAGGCGGGTGCTGAATATGCGACAGTCCTTTGCCTCGGACAGTGACGCACCAGAGTCTTGCAAGCAGTACACGTGGGTTATTTTTCCTCTTTCTTGGCATCATTTGAAATCCTCTTTTTTCCCGCCTTTGATTTGGAAACGCAGATACTGATGTACCATCCAGATCTTCATGTTTGAGATTTAAATCAGGTCATGTTCCTTCTACATAGTTAAGATATTAACCCTTCTCTCTGTGTATTATTGTGTCTTTGTTGGGTTTCGTGACATCTGTGACCTTCTTTGGTGCTCCACTTTTAATAATGCTTTTTGGGGCGCGGATGCCATTAACCGAACCACATGAAACTAGTTTGAGAATGGATTTGTGCGGAACAGAAATATATGTAATGTGCTGGCTGCCCATTACAGTTAGAAGACTTTGTAATCTACCCGTAGTGGTGGATTTCGATGAGGCTCATTTATCGTCCCGTCCGTCGGAACTGGAGCAAAGTGTTTGCCCACGTCGAAATTTTGAGACTACGCTCTCATGATCTATGGGTTCTCCTTGTTTTTAGGTAAATGGGATGGTTTTAAAATGCTTACTTGAAGAGATACCACATTTTCCTCACTTATTTTCAGTAGCCACTTTGGTCTCCTCGGTTTTCTCCTCCCCTTTGAAGGTGTGCACCAATACGCTATTGCGAGACTTCCATGAAGAATGGATTTGGGCTGATGTATATCCACCGTTTCCTCAACATTCCCTTCCTCCACCTGCAATGTGCCTACCTTCTTCAAACACTAGCTCTCAACCGTCAGGCCTTCTCCACCATCAGTCAGCAACTCGACATGGCAGAGGAGAATCGGGAGGCGATTTGTTCTTACGAAAAGTACATCTATTCTCGAAGTTTTCTTTTTGCCTGACGTATTCTCTTTGGTTGCTTACTGTCCTTTATGTCTAATAGTTGTCAAAAATTATTGCGAGTAATGTGTAGTACATGTGTTTCTATCTATTTGTCTGAAGTGATACTCCGTCGAGAATTGCAGTTGGCCTCTTTCTAACCTCTAAAGTACGTCCTCCTTGAAACTCGGCTCAGCTATTTTTTTCCGCTTGCTATTATTAGATGTTCATTATCTGTCGCGTTTAACGTTTGAACTACTTGTTTCCGAAAACGGTAACTCAATCTTTAAATAGGTTTACGCGCTGGTTGGAAGGCGTCAGAGGTCCAACTTCATCATCAAGTTCTGTAGGTGAGTCCTATCTCTTTTTTTCAATTATTCAAATCTCACCTATCCTCACTCAATTTTCTGTATTTTCTCCGTCCTTTTGCAGTCATAGGTGAAATGGGAAAGGCGACTCTACAACCCGGCTCAAATAAGGCAGCCACTGGCCGAGTTGATGCTAGCCCCAAGGGCAAGCCTTCCCCAGTCAGTAAGGTTAAAGTTGGCCCTATTTTGTATCTATTGTTTGTCAGACTTGGAAGTTGTCTCATGGTGGAGAAGCCATAAATCCAATCATCATTCATTCGTTAAGTACGAATTGTTCGATGTTGATTTATATGCTTCTATTACACTTTTTCCTTCAAAAATCCGTTTGGGCATTAGCCTAGCTGTTCGTCTAAGTTAGATATTTTCATACCCAGCACTATTTGGGCAAGTGGCGTTCTTAACCAGGGTACTGACCACTATATTCCCATTTGAATAGCTGAATGTACGCCTAACTTTACAACATTGCGCATTTATGTGAGATTGTTTATCTACCATTTGAGAATTTGAATGGAAAAAAACGTCCTGGGTATTCTAAACAAAGTATTTTGTGTAAGAATACGCAGGTTACGCACTTCCGTAGAGCCTCATCTAAACGTGGCTTCGTATAAAACAAGTTAGTAGCGCTTTTAGGTAATGTCCAAAGCATGGTGGATTAATATATTTTGGAAATAGTCCACAGCGCTGGCATCAACGGAGTGTCTGGGTTGCATTTCGTTGCCTTTTAAAGCATAGGTCTACAGATAGCTGGAAGAATTGACGTAGAGGCAGCACTATGCTGTCGTGATGCTATAAATCAAACAAACTTCCTTCTGTACCACCAGGACACACTTTGCAAGACAAGAACCACAAAGTTTATGCCACGCCTGCCACTCCATCACGCGCTCAAATGTGGAGTATATCTGATTGAATAAGTCCTGTCAAATTATGCTCCTACAGAGCCAAAAAGGAAGTCGATCAACGGGCCTCCCTTGCCCACAAGCGGCGCTGAAGACTCGGCATTTGGAGAGTTCATTCAAAAAGCTGACAGTCCTTCCACATCTTCATCTTCTCCTACCAACGGTTTAAACGTGAATATGCAGCCGGTTGACTCGTGAGTGCTTCCTTTTGTCTTATCTCGCCTCTAACTTATTAACCCGCCTCCTGTTGACACATTGATGCTTTTTATATGACCGCCTTCCAGTTCTTGTTCATTGCCAATTGTTTTTCAAATTTTTCTGCTCTGTGGCTAATTTCCATTGAAACGGACATGATTCTTATGAGGTAATGGTTTTTTCTAGTACTTTTTTGAACATGGTCTTCTCCAAAAATTGGCAAAACTCAGCTTTATGTGGGTTTTGGGAATATGGATTTAATGCTGAAAAGAATTGGAATACATTGTTGCAGCTTTTTTCGGGTTTTACAAGTGTGGCCTGTAAATACTTGACCCCCCTTGAATTGCCTTTTTTGCAGATACCTCAATGCTGTGCCCGTGGTCGCAGAATTTCAGGAGGACATTGATCCCGACGATGCGGTGGTGGGCAGTGCGGCAGGAGGTTTTAACGGTGTGGGTGGAAGCCTTCGTCCGCTTGCCGATTCCGTGGATGATGACCTAGTGGACGAAGATGACGACGATTTGATGAATGAAGATGATGATGACGATGAGGAGCACTTGGGACCCGCTTTGGGTCTGGCCTCATTCAGTAATGAGGCTGTGGAAGATGGACGATCCTCGGTAAATGGTTTGTCTAGTGTTTGAAAATCTCTGCTTTTTGCTGACTCGTGATCGTCAAACGTCATGGTTGCGGTTTTGCTTGATCAAGTTTAGCCCTTAATAACACCAACATTTTTGTTTCGTTTGATTTATTGTTAATAATCATTTTCATTACGATTTTCAATGCTCGGAGTGATATGCGGTCTTTATATTTTTTGCGTTTTTTTATGAAGCAAAATCAGTAAAGGGGTTTGTGATAGAGCCGACATCTATTACAGTCGGTTCCATTCATAAATGTGTTACTTGAGAAAATCATTCTCCGTATATTTGCACTAATTTGATTGGATTTTTTGGAATTTTATGTGATCAGAAACGTTAGAACAATTATTGTCAGCGATACAAAAGAGTTCAAATTAGATTAATTTGGTATTTGCTGTAAAACGTGCTAATTATGTGGAAGGTCTCACGATATTTTTTTTTTCGCTTTAGAGCTGTAAAATGAATTATGTTTTATGTCCCTCTCTTGATGCTATGAACGGGGTAGGTAACTGATGCTCGGGTTTTTGATGCGTTTAGACGAAGGCACGTAATGGGCTGCAAGTAGATCAAGTGCCGACTTTCCAGCCCCCGTCTCCCAGTTCTTCCTCCCCTTCCACTTCACCACCCAGCTCGACCCATCCCCCCAATATCGTTCCACCGATGTCTCGAACCGCCTTGCATGATCCCTCCGTCGATTTGGTCACCTCGGAGGAAAGAAATGCTTTTGAACGCTTCCTTGATGACATGTGATCTCTTGTCTTCTCTTCTACTTGTTTTCATCTGCTTCTTTCTTTACCTTCTATTGCTTTTCGGGCCCCCTCTCTACTTGTCTTTTATCTCACCGGATGTTTTATGTGGAAAGTTACTCGAAAGTAAATGCATATCTTTTTGACTATTTTTACTTGAATCCTGGGGAAATTGCTTGAAGTTCATGCCACTAAGGTTGGTGTGCTTCTGCTTGTTTGACTCTTGCCTCCTTCCGAAATTTTGGCTATGCGATCCATACAGTAGCCTATTGGAGGCGAGATTTGAGTGTAATGCATTGCCAATTGTTCGCTCGTTGATGAAATATTTTACGACGGACTAATGGTTGGAATGTCATTCAGTGGTGCTTTTCAGAGGCATCGACTCAGCCCATTCGTGCAGGCGTTCCTCCTAGCGGCGTTATGAGCGGTGCAAGTCGGGAAGAAGCCTTGTTACAAACTCGGAGGTGGGTCGTGGGGCTGATAGCCTGTGCGGTAGAAGCAGAGACGCAGTACTGCTGACAAGTGGATGAACTCGCAATACCCTGCGAATGCTTGCATAACGCTCTGCAGAGACAAAGGCAGTAAAATCTCGTCAACTTGGTGCGATCTCAAAAAGTGACGGTGTTGTCGTAGGTTCCCAACCCTTACACTTGGTGCCAGTGTCTCACATGTTCCACTTATCTTCCACACTCACTTTGTTGCTTTGATCTCAATCAGTCTGGTGAATACAGATGTCATAAACAGGGAAAGGACGACTGTCACATACTCGTGACGCCAGTCCCAGGTAAGAACATGCTGACTTTACATTTACAAGGTGAATGCGTTGGCGGCTATGGGTTGTACTAAATGTCAACGGGCTCTGACATGCGCCCCATATTGAAATGTGAGTTAGCTTATTCAGTTCAAATAAATATAGTTGAAATCTGACTACAGCGACGGAGTGAACAGATTGCATCAAACTAAAAGCAGTGTCTACACCAAAGGAATGGAATAGCCAATCTTTGCTGTATTCTGACCTCCAGACTTTTATTTTATACAATTTTTTTCTCTATTCCATCACACGGAATGTTGGATTGTCCCGTGCAATTCAACCGGCATTTCCCCTTTACTCCCTTCCTGCTGATGCTAATGCACTAGTGGAAGGAAAGTACCACCGAGGTTATTAATACCACTTTTATACTGAGTAATCTATCATGTAAAAACTTTCAGTGATGCTGTTTACTGACAATGAATTGCGCGCATTGAACACACTTTCAAGCACCAATCACCTGGTGTCAAACAAGGCAACAGTGATCGGCGGTCCATTCACTTCTCTGCGTCAACATCGGCCTCTATTTTCGCATTTTCTTGGCTCACCATGCACGCGCTGACTGGCGTGATCTGTGTCGCTCTTTTTGTGGCCACCTCTTGTCATGCTGCAATTCCCGGGCTGGAGGACTGTTCTACTCGTAAGTGGCTTCTCTTATTCCACTCCGTGAACGAAGTGGAGAGGAGGAGACTTGATTTCTTCGGTTAAATCAATTCTTTTGTGCAGCTTCCAGTCGGGGGGAATTCATCGACGGTGAAATTACTCCGTGTACTACGGATCCGTGTGTCTTGGTGAAGGGACGGAATACTTCAATAACCCTCAAATTTATCTCCAGTAAGTTTAACCTTCCCCATTTGACACTTTTACGTGATAAAGAGGGAATCATCAAAGGTGTTTGGTTGATTAAGTGGATGTATGGTTATTACACCCGATTTCGTAAATAATTCAACCTCGCCTCTAATGATGCAGTCAATTGAATGTCTTTTACAGTGTGAAAGGACCGGATTTCAGTATTCACAGCATTTACGCTTTAGTCAGCCCTAACAATGTCTTCTCACTTTTATTGTTAAGAACTAAAGGTGGAAATAGTAGAAGTACTTAAGTAACACCGGAAACTGTTCATTTCGTATCCTCTGAAGACAATCAAGATCATTCATAGTATACGACTTAAGCAAGTCAGTGAGTACGTTCATTTTCATCACTTCGCCAAGCATAATATCCATTTGGATCCACATTTCGGGTAAAGTAGATGAAAATTGCACTCTCGGTCCGTTTTTCTTATTCGTTTTACCAATGTTCTGGAGAACCTTTATATGGAAGTTGTGAAACGGAAACCGTCAATTTCGAGGACCTCTTTTTGCTGAATAGGCGTCAACATTTGTAAAAACCTACTCATATATAGATCTTTGACTATTTAAGTAGAAATATGTGCTTTGACTCACGCATCGTGCCGATGATAACAAAGACCAGTTAAACGCACTACTTTGGTACAAAACCAGGCAATTTTTTTCACTTTCTCTTTAGCCGACGTTGTGACGGCAGGCAGGATTGTGGTCCACGGGATAATAGCCGGCATTCCAGTACCCTTCTCCCTGCCCGACGACAATCTCTGCCACTTCATTCAGTCCGGTTGTACCATCCAACCGAATTCAACCGAACAAATGGACTACAGTCTCTATGTGAAGGAATCCTATCCCTCCGTGAGTTTACGACCTTTGCGTCTCACCTCGAAATCACGTGATTTTGAGGTCACCAAAGCACCACACTCCATTCACCACAAAGCACCAAATAGTTTGTTTCTTGTTTGACGGAGGTAAACATACTCACGCATGCATAGTACAAATTCTTACAAATGCGACTAACTGCTCATGCCACTTTAAGGCGAACTTGCAATGAACCAGTGACCTTCTCATACGTGATCATGTTTCTCACCCTCCTTCACGTAGGGGAAGTAGTCCGGAACTCTGACGCCTAGATATGAACAGGCGACTTTTACGCTAGCCTGCATTTTTGTAGATTCAGTTGACAATAAAATGGCAGTTGGTGAACGAGTTGGGTGTCGACCTGGTTTGTGTCAAGTTTCCGGCTAAGCTGTCTCCAACGCCACCGTCCGAGTCATGGACACCACCACATGCATCACCACCCGAGACATTAATTGGACATCTACGCCGTATTCTAGGCAAATTGCTACTTTTTGGGAGTCGTGACTAACCGCACCTCAAACGTGTGACTGTCTGACTGCAACTTTACTGGTTGTCTAACAAAAAATGTGTGATTTTGATTCCGTTCTCGTTGTGGTTAATAAGAACTCCTGTCAAGTGTGTAACTTATTGCTATTCCCCATAATTTTTTTTGGTCATTAGTAAAGTTATGTGGCATTTACTCGCACTATAAATGCAATCCTTACGAGCAAACTCAAGTCACACACTTTGTAAGTAAATCCCCGTTCTCCACGTCGGCTCTGTGAAGCTGGCATTCAACATCTCTAGCCTTAAATTATTAGGTTTTGATTACAAAAGATGCACCGAGTGCCAGAAGACTACGAATGAATGTCATTTCTAGCGTAAAAGCGGTTTCATAAGGTGTAGCCACCGTAGTGATTCAATATCGCGCCCAACCGCTTTCCCAACCACGCGATTACTTCTTTTCCCGCAGGCTGACTTCCACAAAATGGTACGGCCTTCAAAATATGCCAATAGTCTCCCATCTCTTCTCTAAGTTAGTGACACATGCTCCTCCAAACTACCTTGGCTGATTGTGACTTCGATGAAGACTTGGGGCGCTACACGGCACTATTTTAAACGGTTTTATTTCAACATAGTAGGCACAGACTCAACAGAAAGTTTATCAGAAGTAGTTCCTTCATTCAGCCTTCCTTGTGAGGAAAATTGTATTTCTAAGCTCCCAAGTAGAAAATTGTCGCAGCACCCTTATTCTTCCATGAAGTCGTAAAAAGTCAGTAACATGGCATAAAATACATCAATGGAACCACCAGAATGGATCCAAAACGTCGCTGCTCGGGGGAACAAAGTGGCTGAATAGTAAATTAAACAAGCCGCCAGTTCAATACATTGCTACCAATTATTTATTCGAACCCTTTTAGCGCTGAATGATGTAAGAGGGGACGTAAGCGAGGTGATTCAAATTAATTTTACAAGATAATGTAGTTTTGCGTCGCAAACACTCAAATTAAATGTATTTTACAATGTGAAAAATTTTTATTAAATCTGTGATGCGTGTTAAAAGGTTATAACTCGTGATTTCTAAAATCCCAACGCAAGAAATGTGGTTCCGGAACTTGTTAAGGCGTTTTAATTAATAAAGTAAAAATCAAAAAATAAAATTGTCAAAATCTAAAAGCTCAGGCAGAGACTCAAAGGAACTCTTTTTTTACCAATTGTTCTGTATTATTGAGGCTTGTTTAAATGTACCAGATGTTCATATTCTGGTTCCGTAGTCAAAAACAGTTCCGCGTTGAGCCTCTCGGTGTCACATCGATGAGTAACACATATCAGTATAGTGACAACAGGTAGGCTGTCGGATTGTGTTCATTTATATTCATTATCTATTTAGAAATGGTTACCCTCAAACGCCAGACCAACAAGTAAGCTTATGCATGATTTGCGTTTGGTCGTAAAAACTTTGTGTTATTTGCACAACTTTTCTGTTTTTTTGCAGCAGTACATGTCGCAGATGAACGCAATGCGTAGGTTTGGTATTGTAATTATTAAGTTTCTTAGCTTTTATGTATTTTCCGGCTCCAATGCCCTACTTGCAAACTGCGCCTATCTACTCACAGCAACTGTACTCTCAGTCTTCAGCTCAGATGCCGCCGATGGCACATCCTCAAGCTCAGATGCAGACTTTTAACCAGAGTGTGGTTCCTGCTGCGGTTCCTCAGCAGCAAGTTATATCCACGCCTACCGTCAGTCATAATCCACCTCCACCTCGTAAAACATTGGAGATCAAAGATCCCCAATCGGGTGAATTACTTGATTTTGGGAAGCTTAAAAGTGAAAAAAAAACGAGTTCTGAAACGTTGACCTCTGTCCCAGCTGAACCATCAGTTCCCGTAAAAATTAGGACTCCACCTCCGAAGGATTTAAAAATCCTCCCTGATCCCGAATCGAATGTCTCCACGGATGTAATTCCTCCGCAAACAATTGATACGCTTCCCGAAAACAAACCCGACTTTTCTTTAAACTCGGAAGAGGAAATAACCTCAAACAAGGATTCTCACGAAACCGACGATTCGAAGCAGGAAATCCCGCTGGAAAGTGATGCTACCAGCACTGATACCTCAGCAAATGACATTGATGTTGATGCGCAGGAATTATCACAAGATAGCAAAGATAAGGAATCGTCGGCTGCTGAGGATCAACCTATTGATGCGTCACCTCAATGTAACAAGAGAATTGAAAGGGTGGGATCGGATTCCTCTAGTAATACTCAAAAGTATAATCGGGAGCAACTCATTTCAATAAGAAGTACTACCAATTTTTCGAATTATCCTTCTCCACCGATGTCAGTAGTGACAGCTTTTGGTGGTAATTCTCAACGACACAAGGGTCGTGCGGGTCTCAGGCCTCAGAGCAGACGCGTATTGACGTTCAATACAGAGACAGTTGTGCTTGATGAGGTTGAAAATGCGTACAAGCCGTCACACTTGAAGAAGCCTGAGGATATTCCTGCAGATCGTCTATCACAGTTATCTCGAGATTTAAACGTTATTCTGAATCGGCTTATCCATGAAAACGTGTTGGGCGTGGTAGATGACGTCAAGAAAATTGGTGTTAAAGGCGAAGATGAAGTCAATTGTTTAGTTAATGCCATTACTAACAAGGTAACTGTGATTAAGTAATTATGATTTTTAGGCTACTCGGCAAGCATTGTATAGTGAAGCATTTGCGAAGCTATGTAAGGCGCTTTCTGAGGTGAGTTGCTGTGGTTATTTTAAGCAAGTTTTTTTAGGCCGATATAGATGGCTTCCGGGAACGGCTAATAAAGGCCACCGGTGACTTATTTTCTACTCCATTAGAAGTTCACATTGATAATGTGAAGGCACGTATAGATGAAAAAATACGGGAAACAAATGATGAGAAGGTCAAGAAGATGTTAGAGGAAGATCGCGAAACTGTCATTACGAAGAAGCGCGAAGCCTTCTTTGGAATCATGCGATTCTTCAGTTTCCTGTACTTACACGACGTCATTCCGCCCAAAGTATTCACGGATGCACTGAGACCGTTTGCGAAGCCTAAATCGCAGGATGACGTTTTGGCGCTCCTGACTTGTCTTGACATTTGCGGCGAAACAATGGACGCCAGGAAAGTTTTCTTGATCAATAGTTGTATCAGTGGCCTGGAAAATGCAAGGAAAGTGTTGAAAATGGAGCAATACGTCCAGTACAAGATAATTGCTCTCGTTGAACTACGTCAGAACAATTGGAAAAAGTCAGAATCCGTTCCACCCCCACAAACAGCCACATTACCTCGTTCTAATTCAAGTAGGGATAGCTTAGTACGCCGCGTACAGACGCACAATGTCCCGCGTAAGGTCTCTTCTACAGTTAAACCCACAACAGGCAAAATGGGTGACTCAAAAACTCCAATTGATACCAAAAATCTTGCGGTTTCGAGTTTTGGCAGCAGATCGAGCTATCTTGGACCTCAGTTTGATTGGAGTCAGGGCAGCAAGGCGCAACCAAGGTATCGTACTTTACTAGTCATCTTTTTGTTTAGGCAGCCAAAATCTGGCACAGCCAGTGAATCTGACAATGGGAGGGAATCTAGAGCGTCCAGTGTGTCTACGATCAAACGGGAGACCAGTCAGACCTCTCAATTCAAGATTGATGAAGCTCTGACTGCTAAGGAAGCTATACGAGACGCGATCGATGCTTTCATGAATTCAGATACCCCAAAAGTAGGTTCTAGTCCTTTTTTAAACATTATGTTTAGTTCGATTTGCTTTTGCGGGAATCCGAAAAGAAAGAGTTTGTTAAGGAAATTCTATGCAGAGCACTAGAGGGAAAGGCTGATGAACGGCGGATGTTTGTAAATATACTTTCTCATTTGTACTCTAAACGCCAACTGAATGACGGACAGATGGAATACGGGTGGGTTACGAATTGTGACTATTTTGTTGCTCCTTCATGTGATTTTGCTCCTTAGTGCCGCGGGCCTTAACTATGTTCATCGACAGTTATGAACATCTTTTCTATGGCTGTTTTTCAAAATGCTCACTTTAGATTTGACCTCTAGAACACAGATATCCATTCATGCATGAAATTGCCTTCTAGGTTCGCCCAGTCGTTAGAATTCATTGATGAGGTTGACTGTCCAAAGCTCGGTGTATTTTTCGGTGAATTACTCAGTTCCATGGTGATATCCTCACCAGTTGACTTAACCAAAATCGTCAAGTTAATCGATATGCTACCAGGAGAGAAATATAAACGGGAGGCCCTGGCCCAGTGCATCAAGTTTGCGGCGGACCGCATCGGCGAGCGTGAAATCGCAATCAGTGCTAACAAGACTCTGACAGAAGGGCTACCCTGGGGTAGTGAGAAGGCATTTACCGAGTCGAGCTTTTTGAAACTTTACCATATTGAATTCATCACGACGACGCCGCCACCTTCGGCGTCGGCTTCTGCCTCTGTGAATTCTGTTAAGCAGTGGCGCGAGGCAACGCCGCGTGCATCATCCTCTACCGGCGACCCTTCAGTAAGTGATCTTATCGACAAGTGTCTTCAGCAAATGGACTTGAAGGAGTTGGTATCCATTTGCTCACAGAATTCTAAATCGAAAGATGCGGAGCAATACTTGAGGAAAATCTTTGCGCATGGTCGGGGTAAGTCAGTGTTATCGTAGTTGTTTCCCTTCATATTTCACCTAGGTCGTGTTAAATTGTTTTCTATCCTTACATTCTAGGTCTACAAAGGAAAGAGATCGATTCTTTGGTACCAGTCGTGAAAATTTTCATTCATCCCACGCCAGATAGCGAGCGATTATTAGTGTTTACCCTACAAAAATCCGTCGGTGAGTTTTTACTTTTCCCTGAATTTATTAATGTTTGCCTTTGTTAAATCAACATAGTTTGAAGACAGCAGTACCGTTCATACTTGTGCGTAGATGATAGGGATATTATCATTTGTTCGTAGCACAGTAGCGCAGTTTATATTCTGGGATATTAATCCATTGGTTTAGTTACGAGGCTCTGTCTTATTTACAGATAACAAGGAAGTTTTCAAGGCGTGGCTTCAATCCTTAGTGCAGCAGAAACTTTTAACTCCGCAGTCCCTTAGTGCGTACGCTCAGGATAAACGCACACCGACCGCATACAAGGACGTGGCTGTTCAAATCTTACGCAAATGTCGGCCGTGAGCAACGCACTTCCGGGCATCGCTTTTCTTCCACATTGCATATTTTCTCTTCGGCTCCCCACATTTCATCCCAAACCTTTGTGTGTATGGCTATATTTATATACTGTGGAGCGCGCAACTTCAGTCTGCGAAATCCCCCTCCCCCCGCAACATCGTTAATCCTCCGAAGAGGAACTTGTATAGATTCAGATTTGTTGATTGATACCTTCTTCTGGATGTGTAGAAAATTTTGGTGCTTTGTATACAATTGGCAATGTTCGGAGTTGTGTGGGTTGAACTAAATGGGGTGAGTTTGCTTCGTTTCCGATCCTTCCTCTTGGTTATTCGTCGGACAGTGATTTTTTCTCTATTCATGCTTGACTGGCATGCTTTTTGGTTTTTGCAAATTTCTAACCGTGTAAAGGTTTTTCTAGTTATCAAATTTCCGGTAGTTGAGCGGACTTGTTTGGTATTCAGAATTTTGAAGTTCATTCTTTGAATTTCTCTGTTAGGTAGACCTGAGCAGGGATATAAAAGACGGGAAACAGAATAGCGGACTAGACTATCGGTAATTGCGCCGTTGACTTCCATTGTGTGCGAATGCGGAAAGTGGTGCTTTACTCTTTCGGATTCCGATGTATTAATGATGTAGAGAATGTGCCGTTGTAGCCCCTAGAGGGGTGGCCACTTCTCCCTAACTTTCAGCTTGGATCAACCGAAAAGGGTGGATTTTCCATCGAAGGGCAGTAATTAACACGAGCGCCATGGCACGTTCGTTTATCGCGTGTGCGCAAGGCGTAGCTCCATGCCTCCCTTTTTATTGGTTGGCAATGCTGAGGGTACAGTAGCGTCTCTAGGTCAATCTGCCTGCGTGAACAACTGGAATTGGACGTGTAACCCACGCGCTTCTCGGCATGCTTTGAGCGTGTGCTTCTGACGCCATTTTAGCCGTATGACCGGCTACTACGTTGCACACACTTATTCACATTCGCACCTTGAGGTGGATAGCGCGACTTTTTTGACACATTTGTTAAGCTTTATCTGGCCTATTCTATCAGTTAGCTAGCTGCGAAGATCAGGACAGCCTATTCCCTAATCCGTGTTATGATCTGTTTTCATCCAAATTCGGCTGGAATCCCTTTTTTATGGTTTCGTGGCTTATTTCAATCCAGGCCTAGGCATCGATAACTACGCTTTCCCCTGCCACTTTCCACGGGCAATTTCTTTTAGTCGTGGGGTTTTACACATTGACGGGCAGATTTGACGGTTTCACGTTTTGTGCTACCATGCCAAGCGTTAGGTTAGAGATTGGATTTGATAAACCGAGCCGAATCGTGGTGACTTATGTGAGGCAAAACTACAATGTGGCACTCGATCATTGTTCACTACTCAGAGTGCACACTTCTAGTGAATGAAATTGGTGCCTTCAAAGACATTTTCATTCCCCAGTCCCCTCGAAATTCCTGTTTGCACGGCAGTGTCGCTTTTCAGGCTATTATTGGGGATGCTTTTGTCATTATAGGACGAACGCTGAGGAAGGCGAGTGGTTTACTCTTGGAGGAGCATCCATTTGGTCACGGCAGCTGAGGAGGTTTGTGCTGAACCCAGCATACCTATCATTTGCCATTAAATGCGCACGCATGGAAAGTGTTAGTAGAGTAGGCGCCATGATAGTTGTTGATTGTATAAATGCCCGAGTGAGTTACCTGCTAAGGTGCGTATGTATGCAGAGACAGTTTGTCACCAACTCATTGCGACTTCTTGCGTGAGACTCGCCACGGAACTGTCAGATGTTTATTTGATGTATTTTGGGTCACATTGGTTATGATCACGTGGATCAGGGCTGGATTTATCGCCAAGCCAACTAACACTGCGAGGGGAGGGTTGAGCCGCCATGGCTACTCTAACCATGTGTGCATGTTTCTATTTGATGTGTCAAATGTCGTAGGTTGGAATGAACTTTGTAGTAAGTGAAATGAGCACGGCACACCAACTGATCAAACCAGTCATTGGATTTTAATGTCCGTACCTGTGATTGTGTAAGCATCCCGAATTTTTATAAAGGCGACTGAATATGACCTCCCTCGCCATGCTCGCGAACAGTGGGAGCGTGACCGGCGCCTCACAGCTGGTGACTTTCCGCCCAGGTCAAGGTTTGACACGATGTGGTCATGCTGGCATTCATGGAGGTGTGCATGCTATGACTCGGGTTTACCGACTTGTTGGTTAGATTCACTCAACCCAAAAGCGGCTCAGGAGCAAAATAACCTGACCGATACCTACGAGAAAACTTGAATTATTTCACCTTTGGCTTTTTGATAATGCTGCAGATGCTCTTGCTGCGATCAGCCTTGGAAGTGCAGGTCAGGTACGTTCGAAAAACGCCATACTGAAGCCTGTTTATAGACCGAGTAGGACCTCGTGATTCTACTTTGACTTCTCATCAGTTGTATAAAATCTTAGATGTGTACTAGAGAGGGCTAAAAAGGACTTTATCCATCGCGTGTTCATTTGTTTTTTTTTCGGTGAATCAAAACAAAAGTTGGTGATCAGCTGAAAATCGGGACCTGTGCTAGTCGTTGATTTGAGGCCTTGGCGATGAATCGCCCTACCAACGCCCGCACTGAAGGTTACTCCACCAAAGTGTTCCATTATGATGAAGTGCAAAGGAAGAAAAAATTAAGGTCAAATACGTGGTTTCGTGAATCACTGCCCCATCGAGGCTCGTACCAAGCGGTCTAAAGTTGTGCCTTCGCAGTTTACTGCAAAGTAAACGCCGTCTGAGTCCGCTCCAACACATCTACACCCTTGATGATGCTACTGCGCATTTTAAATTTGCCTTTTTTTTGGAGACCTAAACGGTGAAGCTTTGCAAAATACACCACTTGTACACTTTATTGTCCATTTCTTCACAATGCGTGTCTTTATGAAAGAGCAAGTATTCGCCTTGCCTTGCTGCTAGAGTGTGGAGAGTGACTTTGCCAACAGGCAGACATGGCGTAGAAACCAGTACAGTGTGAAACGTGGTATGTGATCGGTGCGTGTGTGGTGCGATTTGCGTTGGACAAATGCCATCAGAATTACACTTAGCCCTGATCTGAAGGCTAAATTTAGTAGAATAATGAACGAGTGGTCTCCTCACTTTTTTCCCTGAACAACTTTCCCCCTTCCAAGCTGAAATCGAAAACAGGCGACTTTTGGCTGCACACGCAATTTGGCAGCAGATCTACTAAAATACGCACTATAGGAGGATGTAACAGAGCGACTAACGACCTCCATTTTATGCTCACGCGGACAGACGCCGAATGACCTGAAAGTCATGCCGACCGGAGATGAGCACGGAAACGCGCGTAACCACCTCTACTACCGAAGATGCACCCCACGAGATTTGTGCAATGAGGAGGGCGGAAAGAAGGGGGTGAAGGAAAAGTTGGGAATTAGGGTCTCCCATCCGCGTAGGTGCGTGAGAAGCAGTCGCCCCTCCCTCCCTTCCCGCTCCGCCTCTTATAGGAGTTGGCACCACGCCAGACGAATGCACAGACGTACGTGCAAGGCCTACGGCGAATGAACGTGGCATGTAGATTTGTGTGTGTTTGTGTCGATTAAATCTTAAAACTGTGCAATGAATCGTGTGGAAGCGGTGTACAGAGCAAGCGCTCTTCAACACCTGCATAAAAACAGTTGTTTTTTTTAGTTGCCAAACTAAACCACACTTATGGTTTGATAGAGAAGGGGACACTGATCCTCGATATCGCCGAATCCCCTGCTTCTTCTTCCTCAATATCGTCTTCAAAATCATACCAGTCAACGTTCATTTGGCATTTTGGAATACATGTCCGAATTTTTGCTATTTTTAGTCTAAACTATGCCAAATTCCATATTTTCCAGGTTAGTACGTAATGAAGGTGTTAATCAATGAAAAGCACTTCTTTCCCTTTGAACCTCCAATTGGTTCTTCCTTGTCAGCCCTTTCTTGAATCACAGCACGAACAATGATACACAATGGTTTTAATGCCAAGAAAGCTGCGTAATGACAATGGCTGAGTCTTTTTACAGCCTCAGGAGTCGTAGGTAGGGTTAATGTTTATCCCTCTGTGCCTTCTATAAATAAACCACGGTTGTGCTCCACTACGACCGAAACATTGCAATCAAAGCAACGCTAATTTTGCTGTTCAAAGTACTGTAATCACGCAGGTGTTTACAGACATCTTGTAACATTTAACTGTGCTGCATTCTGGATGAAGGCACTGCAGCGCCTTGGAGTCTTTCCTGAAGACGGAGGAGGGCTACTGGCGTGGCCCGAAGGTCATACGGCCCAGCGGAAGTACAATAGCGCGGCGCCCTAGGTTCCCGTGAAACCAACACCTGAGAGAGTTAAAGAATCAAGGCATTACAACTGGTTTTAAGAAAATTGCAGTATTTGATAAACACAAATTTTTCACGCCAACAATCAACCCTGCATTGACAACCCATTCAGTTGAAAAGCAAATGCCTAGCCTCCCAATTCTCAAGATGACTGGCAAATTTTTATTTTGTGCCATCTATTAAGTAAGGCGCATTCTGTCCCAGGTTGTCGTTGTTAGGAGGTAAAAATTCTGTGAAAACCAGTTGTCCATTTTTAGTAATGTGGCAACACAATTCTCTCTTCATTCTTCTTTTTCAATGCAGTAGACAAATAACTGAACAGTCTTTGCTTTTACCACGCCTGAGGCGGTAGGATTGTGTGATAGTACGACTTGCTGCAAAAAAGTGCACGGAAATAGTAAAACTTTCTTGGTTGGAAGTAAACCCTTATCAAGTGCCACCATTTCGTTGATCATCGGTGTATTTGCTGCTCTTGTCAACGGAGTCTCACCCCGATCAGTATGCAATGCTATTGACGCAACAAAATGTGAAAATTAAAGGTGATATTAGAGCAGATAAATGAAACTTCCGTAATGTTTTTGGTTGCTTATTTACCTCCTTGTTTTGGTTTCTCGAGGATTTTAGGCTCCTCTGGGCGACATGACTTTTGGGTCACGCCAATAGCTCTCACCCAGCCTCCTCTCAGGCACATCGGCAATGCAAATTCTACCCAAGTATTATGTCGCCTTTCGACTTCAGGGAAGACTTAGGGTACTTTTACAAAAACTATTTATTATAGCCTTTGAATTGATAATTACCTATACGAGGGTGTCAGTTCACAAAGAGGTGTAAAATGTAAAAATCAGGCATTGGCATGTCACACCATGGGAATATAAGCCGAGTTCCTTTATGGTTTGTAAATTTCCAGAAATAACTTGAATTTTTATGAGTTGAATTTTGGATTTAATCACCCTCTTACATCTGAGGGAATAATAGCAAATGACCATTTAGGCGATTGAAAAATGCGAGTTGTTGTCAACTATACCGGCAATAATGGCTAAATTTGGGCACCGTTGTGATGTAGTAAGTTAAAAATTCAAATATCTTCTAGCATTTACAGGGCAGTGAGTAATACCAGTTATTAGTGCTGGTTAATCGTAATGATGAATGGTTCGGAGGCCACACCGCCCAGCAGAAGCACAAAGGCGGAGCTGTGAGTACCCGCCAAACCGAAACGAAGAGTTAAGCAAATAGCCATTTGGTTGCCAAATTTATAGGCATGAGTAACGAGAGGTAAACACGTTTTGTGAGTGGTTTGCACTAAATTAAGGTTTGTGTGAGTGAATTAGTTTTACTAAGGGCGGAGATTTTTGATCGGTTGAGTTGATGATGCTTCGCTTTAAGGACTGTCGTCTGACGATGGTGAATAGCATTCCACAAATTTGCAATACTGCATTTGGTTGCTTAACTCCCGGGTTTTGGCTACGCGGACACTTAAGTCCCCGCAATTACACTTCCGCTGGGTGGCATGGCCTCCGAGACATAGGAATAATTCTCCTCCCCGCCCCTTTTGAGCATTTGCAATACATATTTGCCCCTGTCATTGTGACTTCAGTTATCTTCAGGCGAGGCTCAGAGCGCTGCAGGCATATAATTTCAAACCAAAAGGATCAATCGGCGTATAAATTGGTGAATATCACCTTGTACTCTATTAAAGACAAAACTACAAGTACATCATATGCTTTTGAAAGTAGACTTCTTTTTTTGCGATTATACAAAAGTATGCGACAGTTGTAGGTGTTGTCTTTTCAGGATGACACAAAGAAAATCTCGACTCTTTTAAACCACAAATTCTTTACTCCATTTGTTTGATGATGGACAAATAAAAACAAGCATCAAGCTGACACAATGGCCAAAATAAATTGCTACAAATTGCAACAAAAGGCTCTGCATAAAAAAATACATATTTAGTTGCCGAAATTGTTTATTATTGGAAATTGTTTGTTTACACTACGAATAACTTCGATCTAGACATGTCCACTCACTAGTAGTGGAAGAAGTGATACAACACATGATTTGCAGTACAAAATATCCCAAATGAGTGTTTATGATATAATTTACTAAAATTGGTTAAAATCAAAAACATCGATACCCACCGTTATAACTCATCACTTGATTAAATCCTTGTTGCCTCGGTCTTCGATTTATATATTATAATGGCTACTTATATTTTACTAGTAAAGCCTCTGAGTACTTAAATCTCGTTTCGAAAATTTGAAATAGCAGCAGGAGTCACAGCTGCCTTGCTGTGCCAAAGGGCCTACGTGACTCCAATGGCACGTAAGAGTTAAATCGAAACTTTACACGTGCAACAATAAGCTGTGTTCTTGCAGATAGAAGGGAACTATCTAACATCGTTTTGTCCCAAATTCAGCTGCGAATTTTAAAGATTCAATTCGAAAAACTGCTTAAGAGCTTAGGTTTCACAAAAAAATGATGCATTTAGAGACTTGAACCATCTTTTACTTTTCTAGCTTAGTTTGACAAGCAGCTACTGAGGGGCAAATGATCTTGTGGCTTTTCGAGATTTGTTTAAAAACTTAGAGTTTTTTAGTTGATTGTAAAAATTTTAGATTGGAAATGCATATTAAAAGTGTGCGCCTCAAAACAATTATTTGAATACACTAATTTTAAAAGTTTTGCGTAGGACAAACATATTTTCCAACTGAATAACTAAACCCGGTTTTTAAAGAATGTTCTTTATTTCATTTAATTATAAATGATGGTATTGAAAGGGATCCAAAGCAAAATGCCGATTCCAAAACGAAAGCGAAATCCACGAGTTAGTAAAAATAGATATGGAAAGAAGTTGGTGCTTTGTGCTGTACTTTTATTTCTGCATACATTCACGTACGACTCATAAACATTGTGGAAAAAATTAACTGGGAGAAAAATGACAAGATTATAATCGCAACTGTTACATCTACTAGACGTGACGCTTTGTGGCATCACTCTGTTTCGCGGCAGTCCGGAGCCGCCTATCGGTACTCGGCCGCTTTGAACACCATGAAGGACATTCCATCCACTGAGAAGAAGGCAAAGTTGTCCTTTACGTAGGCGATTTCACTGTGAGAAAGAAGAATGCGAAGAAGAGTGGTAATGTACAAGTGCCTACGCAGCCAAATGCCTGAGTCATTGAGTATATTAACCCTTCTGTGAATACACACTCCGTGTTTGCATAAGGCCATCTTGTGCCGTTATGCAAATAACCACACTTTGGCTCCCTAATTAATGCACAACAATGCACCCGTGTGCCATGAGTGCGTCAATTTAGTTTGGGAATTTTCTAAGAAGGCAATATATCCACCCGTCTGGCAATGCAAGATGAAAGATTTAATGCATAAACAATAGTAAGTTAAAGTATTGGAAGTACATCTCAGTTGCCAGGATTTCAAATTTACTGAAGCAACACATGTTGATCGACTAAAAGTATTATAGAGGGAACAGTGTTAAGACATGTCTACACGATAAATAAAAAAAGGATCTATTTAGAGAGCATCATCCACGGGATCAAGAATATATCAAATTGTGGGTGACCACTAAGCTACGGCATTTTGTTTCCTTTTGTGGAAAAACAGGAAAAAAATAAAAGATCGGTGATCATGATCATGAAGTGGTCTAGATGTAAAATATGGAAGTGGGAGATACATTAATGTATGAAGTACCTACCTGCCGAATCTCTGACCGCAGACACAACTCCAAGTGCCAGGGTACTGCTTCTCCAATTGTTTTCTCACATACGAGGCCAGTGTCTGTTCTTTGTTAGTTTGATTACCATAGCTACTCTGTTCATTAAGTGCTTGACGGGCAGCTCTTTGACAGGCACTGAGCATTTCATCGGTCATGTCCTGTTTGAAGACCTCATCCTTCATCATTTTTGTGTTCATCATCTTGTACTCTTGATCACTCTATTTAAGACGCTCTCTGGCACTCTCTCACTGTTGACGCTTGTGCTGGCTTAAATGAGACCTCGGGTGCGTGCACAGCGGTGTGCTGAGGCGTTTTCGAACGCTGGCACTCCATTGGTAGTTACCGAGTTATACATGTGCGTTAGTGTGTGTCTGTGTCTACTCTGGGAGCCAGGGTGCTGCTTCTAGCATGGCGACCTATTGCAATGAGACTAAAGACAGGGTCTTTTCTGCTACAAATATTGAGCGCCTAAATGAGGGGATGGGGAGGATCAATTTGAGTGACAAGAAAGAGCGCCCCCACCCACATGATTTGGCATGCATTGTTAAGGCTGTCATGAAGGCGGCTATGAATTTCACCTTTCTTTTTTAAATAAGCCTTAAGATGCAAGTAAACTATAGGGGCTTTTAACAACTTTTAATCCACTTTCATTTATATGCTGAACGTAAGGGAAAGCGAAATAGTAGCCGCAAGCGCCTCAATTATGTGGTTGAAAAATATAAACGCATCAAAGTATGATGATTTATGTGGGAATTACTATTTAATTTCAAGTATTATGAAGTCCTTTTGAATAATTCCATCAAGACCAAGCTATATCCATTTAATAACCGAGTAGCCAAAAAGCATCCTAAGTGATGGTCTTGTTGCACATATCATATATTATTCCTCATAAGATTGTTTATGCAATCCTTTTAGTAAAATGAAAGCTTTCGAGTAAAGAATTACCCTAACTTTATCTTTTTCTAACCATACAAACGCGTTGTTTACTTAAATCCGGTTTCAGTAGTATATTAGCGCAAAAGAAAAAAAGCCCGTTGTAAATACCCTCTGAAGGCTTGCATACCGAAGAACCTGTTAGAAATCAGTCGAGAATGGCTGTTAGACTCAACAAAATGCCTTGTTTTAATGTTGAGATTATGTGGTATATGTGTAATGTATGTTTATATTTGAGTAGCTAAATGTGGTTACAAGATTTGCATGTTGGTGTGCTCAGGATAGGTCCATTTGTCCTTGTTGATGACATAAATCACACAGGCATGGTATCGCCCCAACAAGCATTTGACACAGCCTGAGTAACGGCACCGCTTTCGACAAAACCTCGCTGCAAGATCGCGGTCTTTTAACCTCAGTGGTGTCTTTGAGAGTTTAGGTGGAAGGCATGAATAGTATGACAAGTAATGGTAAACAAAACCTTGCGGTTTTTTATACATATAAACAGAAAGACTGTAAATAGTTGTTTTATCTGATTTTTGGAGGAAGGCCGGAGTGAAAATTGACTTTCCATTGAAATTTATGCCAAACTAAATGAAATCCAATCCGCCGGGGTAACAGCCATTACAATCGCTCTACCGGGAACTTCATGACATGAGGAAAACATCTACTATTAAGGCAAGTAAAAAAGGCTGTAATTTCTTGCTTCACATGCATAAATGTGATTGAAAGATGGTATAATTAACCGAAGGATAGTCTACTTGGAGCTATTGCGGGATTCACATGCAGCCTTTTCCACACGGATTTCAATTTATTTCTACATCTACGAGAGATGTCGTATGCAGGAATCTTATATCATATTTCCATTGGCTTCTATTTCGAGTTTTGTAGGTTGGTAAATTTGAAACCACTAATAGGGAGAACTAGCAGCATGAAACATATTCTTGCCTTTTTAGGTTACTTCCGTTGATAAGGGACTATTTAGAATCACTTAAGCAAAAAAATTAGAGGAATAAAGAATTGAAAGAGCTGACATAATTGCTCAGAATGCTTATTAGCCTGCACTAGGGCATTATCACTTAGAAAGCGCGCTTCGTGCCAGCACCCTCCTTCAAGGCGATGCACACTCTTCTCTAGAGCAGCGTGTAGTGCTCAGGCCTCATACTGATGCTATTCCACGTGAAATAGCTACTCCAGGCACGATTCTGATAAGTGCCTTTCTATGGAAACAGTTTTGGCATTGACAGTCTGCCAAAACCTCAGGAAATTATTCATTAATCTCTGTGTAGTATACGTAGGCTCAATAAGATAGGCGGTTAATTGCAGACACCTAACTCTTGATTAGTTGTACACTCCGGACTGAGCTGTTTGTTAAATTACTCTTAGCTGGTAGACACAAGAATTGCGGGCAGTAAGGCGACTCTTGTTGTTTAGTTGAGAAGCAAATACAGAGACAGCTAAGAATGCCAATGCCACGCACACACACACACACACACGCTCACATCCACGTGTATACATGTGGTATTGCATGCTCCAGAGCCTAATTATTTTTAAATTCTCAACTCCATTGCACCACAGACATATCATTTTGACTCATCAAAGAGCAGCCAGTGAGTGCCAAAGTGTGCAGTTATGAAGGCGTGTAGGTCATCGTCGCATTGATTCCACCGTCACAGAGCAGTCTAAGCTCCTGCTGATTTAAGTGCTCAAGCTGGCACACGCACACACAAACACACAAGGAGAATTGGCGAGTCTTGGCTTCACCGGAGTCCACCAAACAGGCAGTAACGCAGATCACCCAGTGATAGGCCTCTCTCCGTGTCACCCTCACATGGGTGCGCATTTCTGCGTTGCTAGAAGTTGTGCGCACTTTTTTTGCGGCGTTAAAGGCTTATTTACAACACTTCGATCGCTCAGCTCTACTTTGATTTTTTATAGGTGTCATTTCACCTACAAGTTGTCTTTCGCTTCTCTTTCATCCTCTCAGTTGGCTGTTCGGAAACGAACTGCATTTTAATCGGAGTTTCTTGTTTAATTCATGTCTGCCAAACTGAACAGGGCATCCGTTTCCTTTGGCCACATATGAAGTTTTATTTGAATTTGGGAGTGGTAACCATTGCTAAATGGCAAATGGCACATAAAGTTGGCATTCCGCGACTGGTGGGATGTTTCATTGCAATTATTTATTCAACTACACAATCCACCCAACAACAGACTAGGATTACACAGATTATGCTTATCTTGAATGGTAACATTGAATTTATGAGTATGGAAGAGAATTTAGTGGTTGTAGAGACATGCTAGTGTATGCACACCCAATCCATCCGTCCACCCTTCTGCGGGCCTTTTTATCTGACACCTTCCTTTATTGTTAGACTAACTATGTAGAAGCTTAAAATCATTTGCAAAATATGATATTCAACTGTATTTTTTGCAAAACGTTCACGTTTACAGCATGGACGAAGTCTGTACTTCCCTCCGCCCTTTCTGATTGGCTAAGCCTCCGTGCTAGTACCATTGTTACTCCCAAGGTCATCCGAAGACCATAAATGTAAGAGAGTCAAGATCCTCATGAACACGCAGTGTACACTGAGTCATGCCGGGCATGGCCTCTACTCTTCTAATTGGAAACACAGCTAGTCAGCGGAAAGGGCTCCCGCCTCGTGTCCATACTCACCCGTACATAGTTACCAGTCTCCACTCTCTCCTTAAAATCACACAAGTATTGCGAAAAAAGAAACGAGAATCGTCCTTTCAAGTAGTCTTTCGCTTAAATGGAAGCCAAAAATGAGGATTGGGCGTCGCATTTAATCACATGAGTACACAACGAGGAGAAGGAGGGTGTAAAATCCTTCTGCCTGTCACACTGTCTTTAGTTTCATGTTCATTCAAGCTGATCAGCAGAACTGGCGTAAATCAAATCATGAATTCGTAAAATCGCTCATTCTCGTTGCCGGCTTAATGTGATTCAAAGCGTGAAACTATCTCGTGATAGAAAATGAGACCTTAACTGACATTTCTCAATTAGAACACTTACTGGGAAATTTCGTCAATAAAAAGTCACTTTTGCAAATCCCTACCTTCGTACCGGTTAAGGAAGTAACTAATAAAGCTTTTGGGTCTAAAATTGTGCAAGACCACCTTGGCGATCAGTCTCGCTAAATGATTTTGACACAGTAGTGTTCAGCTATTCAGCTTTCGGTGCAGAAAAGAAAGCCACGAGCACACTCAATCGTCCATTCTATCACCAGATTTGCCTTATCCCATTTCTTTGGGATTAAGTTACCTTTTAGAGACGAGCATTTAAACTCCAAGGAAAAAACCTTTGCCCTTGATATTACGGATTTGTGGCGTCGAAGAGCTCAGAAATCTGTAAGGTGTAAGGCATTTCCTTGAGCAAAAAATATTTACTATTTCCTCTAAAGTACTAGCTCAAAAGGAGTCATTTGATGCAAAAATGTGCGCACCCGATGCATGACTTATGTAGGTGGATTCGTTAATAAATAAATACCACGTTTTATTCGAAATGTCAATCAATAAGATCCCACGTGGTTGACATGCTGTCTAATGATTTGGTAAGTGCATAACTCCCATCTCCCACCTTACATACCTTGTCAGTTAACTTATTTACAAAATAGCTTTACGAAGCGCATGCAGCTTTTCTTCAGTGTGGTGGTGTCTCTGATGTAGATTTTGAAATACCAAATGATCTCAAATAAGAATTCTATTCTTGGCGGTTAGCCACAAGAAGGGTTAGGAAATGTGCTTACCCAAGTGCGTATGTCCTATATTGTTTTATTAAGTACTCAGTATACACATGGCGCTTTTCGGTTTTAGATTATTTGTTTTATACGGGAAATTGGGCTAATTAGATCAACACAAAATGTGCGCCACACTTAAGTGATGCGTGATAATGCATGAGTACCCTTATAACACAGATGAGGCGCTTGAAAGACCTGGCATCGCATAGTAAACGAGGTGAATTAGGGAAAATTTGTATTTTGCAATTATAGGATAAACATACATCAAATGCATAACGGAACCTACTGTTTTAATATTTGTAACAGAAAAATTTTCTGAGAAGTCATACCAACTGCAAGTTCCCTGACGAAGCAGATCCATGTAAGTGCTACTTCAATGTTATTAATCTGTGACAGCATGATTACTTTGGGATGGATCTTCTAAAAGACATTGTTTGTTTCGGAAAATATATATTTCGTTCAATCCCATTTTGGGATAATTACTTGGTGCTCAAATGTCAACATCCACTAACATTGCTAGTTTAAAAACGCAAGTCTTTGGACCTTTAATAGCAAAAAGGGTTCGTTTGCGGCTGATCAAAATCTCTATGTATAGCTTCTCATTTATGTAAACGGCAACTAAGTTTCTAAGGCGGTTATAGCAAAGGAAAGATATTACACTGCCATGACATCTAGATAACAAATAATTTTGTAATACTTTATTTTAGACTACTTGCCAATTGATCCATGGAATCCGAATATTACACAGCAGATTCGTCATCTGACAAAAGTAAACACCTTGTCATACGGAAATTTTAGTCCTCAATGTCATATTGCTCCTGTAATTAAGTTTCCCATGTTTGTATAGCATTAGAACCAGTTGACTGCTACGGGTTTAACCTAACAGTTTGATTTGCTTGATTAGCTGATGGTTTTTGCCTAACTAAAATCCCTCTCTTTAATCCCCCTTTAGAATTAATCATTTTGAGTTATTTTTAATCAAAGTGTTATTAACTACATGAGTCTGGAAATAGCTGGTAGCTGATGGCAAATAAATACTACCCCACTGCAATCTACCGCCATATTCCGTCGCATCTTCTAGTAGTAGGGACCCTTACGCTGTGTCCGATAATTTGGATAAATAGGACTTTATTCTCTTAATAATAACATAATGGGAATGTCATTTGGAGTCATTTATCCTAGGCAAGCAGGAGGCCCCAACGCCTGAGGTTCATCCCGGGAAAGTACCTGGGCGACCCAGAGGCAATAATGAGGCCATTCGAAGAAATAATTCCTCCAAATTCACCCATGCGCCTGCCACCGATACCAAAACGTGAGTCCATCTTCTTAAGTATTCCAAGTCTTAGAGGTGCCAGTAGCTGAGAAAGGCAATGTCCGGTGACGTATATCATTCTGCTTAAGATAATGTAATAAAATTCAATTTTGGACCAAATGTGTCATTTACAGTGCGACCTAAGGTGACCCGGCACATTGGAAGCCCAAAGCAGCATAGCTCGAGTGCCTTTAATACACGTTATTTACTCTTATCAGGCTCACCACCCGAGGAGAAGGACTCGCGCATCCGGCAGGCAGCCCAAGAAGTGGCAATGGCAGCGGTGGTGGTACCCCTGTCGAAAGCGATGGCGGAGGACACCCTTCCACCCCTTTACGACGATGCAGGACATCACGATCGATACGCGGGGGTACCGCGAAACGTCCGCACTCTATTCTTTCACGAAGACGCACCAAGGGTGAGACAAGTGGCACAGGAATTGGTGAAAAACGCCGTGAGAAGAGCAACCTACCGCGTGCGCCGTAGTCGCGCTGTCGTCTGTCCCTGGTTGGGCAACTCTACGCCAACTTTCGGTCTGGAGCCCACATACCACTCAACCTGACGCTATTGTACGCCTCCGTGACGTCCTTCCAACGGCGCCTTCTTTCCTTATTTTGCTAAATATATTTCATTCCATATTGATTGATTGCATAAAATAGAAAGTTATTTTGATTTGAAGTCCTAAATTCTACACCCATCCACCCGAAATGCGAATCCAAATGGCCCTCATCATACTACCACATTTGTCTTATTTAACATTGCATGGTTTCATACCAAATCTCCTCGGGTATCAAAATGCTGGATTCAGTGCATTTTATGCGGAAAACTCTACCACGAGTGCTTAAAATTTAAATACACAACGTCTAGATCACCTTGGGACGCGAAAGTCTTGATAGATTAAACAACAAGGTTTAATAGATGGAAGGGAGTAGTCAATAAAAAATGCACAAATGCAACCTACTATAGTAAAAATAACTTTGTGGAAGAAAAGTCAGCTTTTTGGTGATGAAAATATTTTGGATTTATATTGGCCTTGAAGGCAAAAGAATTAGTCGAATAAGTATTATTCTAGAATGGTAAATAAATGTTCAAATAACTCTCCTGTAAAGTCATTCATTGACTTAGTTTATTCAGACTGGATCAGTTGTATATGTAGCACCCTGAGCCTTTTAGGAAACCGAAAGATGTTACGATACGGGGACTGAAGGTGCATTGCCGACGTAAAGAGGGGCTGCGGAGGCCACTGACATAGCCGTTACTAAAGGCACTTCCCTTGGTCAATTTCCCCCTCGACCTAGTCGATGCTGTAGGGAAAAACGCTCACGAACCAACACACCAGTAATCGGTTTGCATGCAACTGAGATGTTTGGTTCCAAAGTCACTGATCCATTTCGTCAATTCCACTGGATCTAAGGTATCGTCCTGTTTGGTGTCGAGTCGGTTCTTCTTCGTCATTCTGTTCTCACTTCAGTGCTCTACAGCCAAATAATCTATGTTCTCTCCAAGTAGGAAAGAGGTGGAGGAGGTATCGCATGTTCACCCAAATGACAGCTTCATAGAGATACCTTAGAAAGCTCTGTAACGAACTGTTCCAAACGCTCAGCGGCTAATGTTGTTTCAGAAGTTAATAGCAGTTCTGCAGAATACGGGTTTAGTGTCGCTGCCGAACGCGGACTGCATTTTCACCCCTTCCATTGGGTGTCGTCACCTTTACGTTTATCCCCGGTATACGCCCTTCTTTCGTCACGTTAAAGTTTATCACAGAAGCAAAATGAATTGTCAACCAAACAAAGCAATACATTACATCACTTATTTGTAATTAATTAACTTCCAAAGTGTACTTTGACTTATAAAATGTCATAACTTTCACCTCCCTATATCTCTTGGCGATGACGTATTATTGCACAGAGGCTTATACTACTATTTAAACATTAAGTAAGGATGACCTCGCGTGAAAGAAGCAATGCGTGCGCACGAAGCTTCAACAGCCTTTAAATCAGGCTCCGCAATTGCAAAGTTGACAAATTGGAGTGAAAGCTGATCTAATCATCGTTTTATGGCAAGGGGATTCAAAACTAGATAAATGTAGTAAGCGAACCCTATGAAGGGGATGAATGGGTTGGTGCATATCCACAGTCGCTTTTTACAAGTTCCCACAAGTTAAGCAATTCCACAGCAAATAGCGATAAAGATTACACAAGAATCGCTACTAGATTGACAGTCGAGGTAACAAATCGAAAGTTAAGATTATTCTCGGAAATCAAACCAACCGTCTAGAATCCGTGGGCTCTCTAGCTGAAGAAGAGAGAAAGCACCTTAACTCTGTAGAGGCCAAAGTTTGAGTAAGCAAACTTTGCTTTCCACTGTTACTAATGTAATACGATAGTGGTTTATTCCTCGGTATTGGTGAGGCGCCACTTTTGTACTTTGAATTAGCCCTCTTATACCTCGCTGGGTGGGATGGCCTTTGGGCCATGCCAATAGCCCAGGCACCTTCTCTGCACTGAATATATATTTTGCCCGAGTATTCTGTCCTCTTTTGTCTTCAAGGAGTTCCGGGACTCTACACTAAACCTCCCAAGCACATGGAAGTCTTGCGTGCTCTGGAGAAATACAACTGCATGTTGACAGAGGAATGGTCTTGTTATACAATAAAGTCAAAGATTGGAAGAGCAAATTTATCGTTTTAGATGGAATCCTAAAAAATAATATAACAGCTTTTTTACTGACTCTATCATTTGTTTTGAGTTAAGGAGGACGAAAATCCAAGAACAAACAAAACGCAGAGTTCGCTCTCAATTCATTTCGTCCAACTCTAACTACTCCGTGATAGTGTTTTAAAATCAGTCGCATCTCAAGGGAGGGGAAGTTTACTACATATGCTTTAAGTCTTCGAACTATAAGGAAAATCAATAGAGGGCAGCTGCTAGCCAGTCGATTAGCCTCTCATTAGTCAGCCGGCGGTGCAGATGATCATCTACCCATGTTGCGGGAGCCCTGAAGAGGACCGTTACTATGTTCACCATTGCAGACCTAGCGATCCGGCTGGTTTATAAGGTGGGCAGATATTAATAAGATAAATTATGCAGCCTCTAAAGCCGCATGTTAAACCTATGCTACAGAGAGTCCACATTTGCATGGTCGACGTATCTTTAAGATTTTAAAGGAAAAGGAAACAACAAAGTAAGGCAGTAATTCTATAGGTATTTTAGGCAAATTTAGATAAACAGAAGTCACTTTTGGTCAAGTCCAACGCCAACACCTACCACTTTGAATCGTACGCAGTCTTCCTTAAACCTATACCTAACTCTGGAGATAGGCGAAAAGTTAAGCAGGCAAACTGTCATAAGCAAGTCAGTTCCCTCCTTTAATGCGATTAAAGCAACTCTTAATATAGTGAAGCCTGAGACACATCATAATTTACATGGTGGCAACGCCGCCAGTACCTAGTCCATGGCATTTCACAAAAATCTTTGCTTCCAGACGGATAGTAAATTCAAGGTAATATTAGATAAATCTACTCTGATCAAAGTAAAACTTACAGCTGAATGTTGTTTAAGCCTTCCATTTAATCCCGCCTTGTTTGGAGTTCTCAAGGCTTCTGCTGTCACGCGTGCATTTCTGTGTTCAAATTAAATCGCTCATCGGATTTGTTGTCCTTTGTTTTGTACTCAACTTAACTTGTCTTAAATAGTCTTTCCAAGAATTACTTCTTTGACCTCATTCAATTACCTTGCACAAATATTTGGACCAAACCACCAGGTCATCTATTGTATGCATTCTTATTCTTTACCCACGAGCCATCTCATAGTATCACTGCTTTGTCTGATATTCACCCAGAAGTATACTTGTTGCCTTAGTTTTATGTCGGTGGTTTCTTCGACGTTGCTGCTTTGTGCTGGAATGTATTTGGATTATTATTTTGTGACATTTGATTAAATAGCGCTTTGTCAATAGTTTTGAAATGGCATCTGAAGCCTCAGCCAGTGAGGGCTCTAAGTCGACATTTACTGAGGAGGAAGAAAAGGAGATATTCAGTCACCCGTTCTTTGCCCACTCGGCGGAAGAAATGGAGGGCAATCCAGCTTACGAGGCCCTCCGCACCCTCAAGTACGAAAGTGATGACCCCAACGCCAATGCGGAAAGCTTTAAAGAGGAGGGAAATTACTATGTGAAGCAGAAGGACTACGAGAAGGCTATCACCGCCTATACCGGCGGTATTCTTGCCAAACCCACCAATAAGAAACTCCTTGCTGTGCTCTACACTAATCGGGGAATCGTACATGGGCTGAGAAGTAGGTCCCCTGCTCTCTGAATTTGGGGCATTTCTCAATAGAAAACCATGGCTCGTGTGTGAAGGACTGCAACTGCGCGATTAAGCAGGATCCTACTCATCTCAAGGCCTATTTCCAGGCGGTTAAATCGTTGATGATTCTGTCAAAACCTGTAGAGGCTATGGAGTTATGTGAGGCTGGCTTGAAAGTGGCGGCAGATAACAAGACACTAGAGGAACTGAAAACAAAAGCGATGAATTTGCAGGCGGTGATAGCAGCAAAGGAGGAGAAGAAACAAGGTGCAGTGAAGGAGAGTCATAGCAAACTGTCGGGTGCGTTTAAACAGCTCGCGGTAAGTTAAGCGATTTTTTGTACACTTTTCTTATCCACTCATCTCGGATGATTGCTACTTTAGTTTTTCTGCCTATCTCTGATATTTCTGCGCCATATGGTTTGTTGATTTCGGCTGCTAGATGCAGACATTGATCAAGCCGTTCTGAGAGATGAAGGAGCTGGTTAGACGATGGACTTGTGGAAGGAATTAAAGTAGTTTGAGGTCTTTTTGTAGTACTCCACTTTATTGTGCATGGCATGGTTTAATTTCCCTTCTTTCGCCAATTTGATTATCAGCTCCCAATATTTTCTTGCTGTTGCGTTTTTGCTCAATATATAACCAGTCAAATTAAAGATTGTCATTGTATTGAAGTAGCGAATCATCCATGAGTACGTTATCATCAGCTCACATGATAGTTTAGAAAACTCCAGGGCGGTGAGTGAGTTGTAAGTGGCTAAAAGGATCAGTGTAATTTCGTCTTGAGTATGCCCCGTTCTCGTATCTGGAATTTGGGCGCCAAAATTCTGATGAATTACTGTTGACCTCGGGGCATGAACGAACATAAGGTGGTAAATCTGTATCACTTCCGGAATGTTTCTTGTTCATTGCTTTAATTGGATATCGTGAGGTTCTCAAATATTATGAGGCCGTTTGGTTTTCAGCATGGAGCATGCTCCAGATGTCAATCGCTTTTCTTGTAGGCGTGTGGAGGAGTTTCGCGCCCTTAAATCTCTACATTGTAACCGTAATCTTTGTTCTTTCCAACCCTCTTCTGCTCCTTTGCTTAACACTACAGAAATTGAAATTAATGCAGTCCCCCACGATCATGCACAGGAAATACTTCTACTCTGTAATGTCTCGGCCTGATATCCAGCTGGCAAAATGCAAGTGGTTTTCCATTCGATACCTAAAAGTGTTGTAAAGCGAACAAGACATCCGGGTGATCTTGTAGACTGCTAGCATAGCTTCATGTCACCACTGTATGAAAATCGAATAAGTCTATGTGACAAAGCTCAGTTGTCATTGTCCCCGCCTCTACTGGTAGATATGTGGGATCTGCAATGACTTTAAGTAACTACGTCTAAAAACTTGAAGCTGCTTTGAAATAGCCCTTCGAAGAGTATTTAAGTCGTGCATACGGTCCTGGTATTCGTGCAATATAATGATATTTAGTGTCGTGGTTTATTAATTTTTTTGGCAGTCAAACAGCAGCCAGCATTTGCTTGGCATCGCCCTGAATTTGAGCAATCCTTTCTGGGCAACATAAGGGGAAGTTAGACTGCAATCTTGTGGAAAGTATTTCAGTAATATCTGGCTTCAACTATCTTGGGTTCTTACTTGCTTTTCCTTCCCTCTCAATAGGCACGTGGAATCGTCATCGACTTCGAACAGCCACCGGTGGGTCTACCTGAGCACGCAGCCGTGGAGATCTCCTTCGATCACATGAACCTTATTCATTGGCCCGTCCTCTTTATGTACCCCGAGTTTAGTCAGACCGACTTTGTGCAAGATGTCGCTGAGTACCTCACGTGAGTTCTAACAATTCCTCTATTTTGTCTTGAAGTGGGAAAGGGTGGTCTGTTGCCATGATGCTTTGTTCACGTGCTTCCAATTGGTTGGGTTTACAGTTAGCAATGGATCATCAAATGCTTTCCTGTTATCCCTCCCTTTAACCATGAAATAGCACTCAACTTTTCTGTGGCACTAATTAATTGTTTGGGTCATCGTCTTTGATTGAAAAGTGACCTACGCGGTGAAAACACGGCAAAGAGATGACTCGTCTTTCTGTAGTGATGTGACTTATCGCTTTTATGCCCCGGTTTTAATCCGTTTTGCTGGAACTTGTTTATTTTATTTGAAAGTGGGAGCCATATTCACTTATCTGTCTAGCTGCTTTATCTTGTCGAATTGTTTATTTCAAATGATTCCACGTCGTTGGAACAGTAGCACACATCCGCGAATCGCTTCTCACCCAAAGCATCGGCTAACCTGCCGTCTGTGTTTTCTGTGTTCATCAGGTAGCTACATCGTCGCTATCTAAGTATTCCGTTGCTTGGTCTTTCCACCCATTAGGGGTTTCAGTCTTTCTTTAAAATGACCGCTTTCTTAAAAAGGAAAACCTGCCTTCTTTTTCAGGATTAGAGAATGCCTGAAACATGTCCTCAATCCATCCGAACCTCCGCCATGGGACAAGGCGAAGGCTTACACGACTTCTGAGGATGAACTGGAGGTTAATTGACCTTGACTCATCAGTCGATTTAGGGGTTTACTGAAGTTGAACATTGTTGAACCAGTCAGCATTCCGTTGTCTTCTATTGCGTTATTTTGTTCTGTTTCAGGTTTACTTCGAGGACACAAAATTTGCCAAGCAAATGGTTGAAGTGCCTATCACTCGCACCATAACTGAGCTAACTAAATGTCCTGGGTGAGTTGTGTACTGTTTTTTGATAATAATCTGGTAGCAAAAGGGGCTAAGAATAATTTCTTTCGTTGCCTTCTTCTTAGGTTTTACGTGAGGCGAGATCTCGTAATTATCCTCTTTGTAGTCTCCAAGCTATCCAAAAATTTCCACAAAATGTGGATCGAAAATTTGAGGGGCTGAGGTAGCACCCCTTGTGATCGTTGCATTGACACTTATTTGTTAATTACTAATGCCATCTGTAGTAGCATTTTTTTCATGTAAAGATGCAAATATTACTTGATTCAATTCAGAGGTATCCGTCATTGGTCATTATGGGGTTTGGAGGTCATGTGGTTGGGATGTGTGGTGCGGCAGGCTTGTTGCTGGTTTCCACAGCTACCAGAAGCGGAGTGCTTGTTGTAAAAGCTTGAGTGGAGTGGTAGGTAATTTGTTTTTAGTTAAGGTAGTGGTCTGGTCTTCCTCCTTCACTCACAAATTTGGTATTTATTCTTTTTATTCAGTGCATCAATCATTAAAATGGCTCAATTTTGACGGACAATCATCATGGGGCGTTTGTGGTGATCGTAACAGTAGTAGTAGCAGACTGTCAAGGTGGGTGGACTGCTGCCGGTGCTACTATGTCTACTGCTGATCCATGGCACTCCACGCTATCCCCTCTATTCAGTGATCACATTTGATTTGAATAATCCCCAATGTTGGAACGAAACACGGGTGGAATGTTAGGCAGCGTGGAAGCGAGATAAAAGCGGTATTGGGAAAGGAAGGTTGATAGAATTGGGGACAAAGTAATTATTGTGGCCGTACTTTTTTTCGGTTTGGGCTTGTGTGAGTGCAATACTCGGACAAGTGAGCAGATGCCTGATTCGGTTACAGTCGGGATTGGCCGTCACATATGCACCTGTAGTGACCCGAAGTTTAACAGTGATGAAAAGATGAAAAGTTACGATGTGTTGTGTGGGATTACGTTGCGTTTCATTGGAGAGGGAGAGCAGTTATAGGTCCAAAGGTAGTGTCAGGCAAAGTCGCGGACAAGGCTTCCAGGATGAGTGCTGAAGATGGATAAGACTAAGAGGAGGAGGAGGTAATGGGAGTGCTACGCCATCTACATCTACAAGGCGTTGCGCCAGATACATCCAGTCGCATACAGGTGTCCCCTCGAAGGTCATCCCGATAATGCACTCTGTCTTTAGTGGCATCTGTCACCGCATTGTTGCGGAGTCGTGTAGGCTGGCACACTACTAAGTGCTCGGTCTTCACGAGCAGGGAGATCCAGATGTTGTGCTTCTCTTCCTGCTCGGTGCGTTGTTCGAGTCAGCGGTGGCAGGGGACACCGAGGCCGTGACTACGTACATTCCACCCTGTCCCGTGGGTAAGCACCATAGTCCTGTTATGGGCCACCATCGTCGCGCACATTCTTGGTTGTTGTGAAGAAACCATGCACGTCAAATGTTACAATGCAAATTACTGGGATGCCCTCATTGATGTCATCCGTAAGAGAAATTGCGATGGAGCAGTCTCCGTGAGCATTGCGACAGAAACCGAAGGAAAAAAAAGGGGTGGCGCATGGGCCAAAGTGTATTAGGTTGTTGTAATCACCAAGCCTGTATGAAACGCTTCGAGTGATACTTCACTCCATCAATATCCGGAGTGTAATGCGCTTCGTTTCATGGGAGAATGATGTGTGGGCGGTGGAATGCAAACACTGCGAATGCACTGATTGAATTTGTGCAAAAAGTGGTGAGAATCGAGTGCAGACATTCCGAAAGCTTGCATTGCATTGTCAAGGGGAGGTAGAAGAGGACGGTTTATTTCCTTCAAAAAAAGATCTTTAAGCAAGTGCTCACAAGAATGTCTTTTCCACCAACAGACAAATGGGGGTGGTTGAGAACGATCCATGCCATCCAACGGGAGAGTGACGGGAGCGACTATGATGGTAGTTTGAGACAATGTAATTTTCTGCGGTGAAGCGTAACAACAGTTGTTTAAGTGAAGGGAAAGCGGATGGTGATTGCGATTGCAGAATTCAAAGATTCCTTATTGTCAAAATGAAGAGAGTAAGTAGAAATAGTGTTGCTGGCTGCTTGTTAGCATCTTTTGCATGGTCTGTGGAATGGCGAAGGTCGACAGTAGTTTTCATTAACTGGATACATCAACAGTCCGGCAGTCCTCTTCGGGGTTAGAGTTAGTGATACTTTCTTTTCATTCTTTTATTCATCATTCGTCACTTTATTGATTCTACCTTTAGCATTCAAAGAACAAATGGTCATTTCAAATGTATTTTCCACTGTGCGCTTCCTTCTGCTCATTCCTTCGCAATAATTCTCTCTACTTCCCACATTATTCGTGTTGGTGGACTTCATCATAGGCGGGCAGAGCTACCGAATATGCACAAATAGGGAGAAAAATTGTAAAACTCTCGTGGGACGGTCACTGACCCTGCCACCAGTGGTCACATTCGACGTACGAAAAAAAAACACCATCCTCCACTCAATCCTTAATTACAAATCTATGTGTGATTTCACTAAAACAGTCAGCCGAGCAGACCAGACTAGAAAAAACCCGTTTACACGCGCAAACTGGAAGACAGTGAAGGTCAAGTGTTAGCTAGTCAATCAATCAGACATTGGTGAGTCAAGGCAACAGATGTCCAGCAATCCGGATTGCGGTGACCCTAATGAGTGGCGTTATCATCAGCACGGTTGCAAGTCTACCAGTCAGGCCGTCAACCGGCTGACCAGCCTACTTCATGATGGAGACTGACTTCATGGCCTTCTTGAGCGGGCAGCACACCAGTCTGGGCGATGGTCACACCGCCCAAGAGCATGTTCAACTTCCTGTCATTGCGGATGGGCAACTTGGGCACCTCGGCAGGCAGGTGCTTGAGCACAGAAGGTAAGCCGACTGGCTCCACGTCGAAACACACTGTGCACATGATCGACGGGGAAATTGTACACATCCCCGCACCAACCTCGTCTTAGCTTGGGCTCATGATTTGCCTCCTTTACCTCTCCCACTCATTGTCCTATCGACGCCAGCACAAACAATCACCCAATCGAACCAATACTGCCTCATGGCGCTCCTCCCCCTTATTATAATGATTATCCCTCACAAAGATGTCCACTTCTTATTGGCTACACATTAGCCCAACCACTTCACACATTCCATTGGCTCGCCATTGCTAACACCTTTTGTGATTGGTTCTGCTATTGCTCCTACTGCATCGGATCTCACTTGACCTTACCTCACCTCATCTGTACTTTTTATTGTTAATTCATTTCATTCAACACTTCTGAGCTTCTCCACACAATTATTTACTCACTCACCCACACCTCGCTGAATCACTCATTCACCTACACATCCATACACACACTACCTATCTTTCCTTTCTATCAATGCCTACCTATCTGGTTCGTAGTAGATGGCAGGTAAAAGGGCTGGGTAGACACCCTAATAGTCTCGCCTCGTATAGTTTAGTCTAGGCACGTTCTACGTTTACTGGCATGGTCACATTCAAAGTCCGTCCCTCTTCACAACTCACCTTCACATTTAAACTCGCACTTTGCATTGGCTAGCTAGTCTGTTCAATACTTGCCCTCACCTCACCTTAAGATCTTATAATTTGTTCCACTCCCACAATACTTAAGCGCTAGACACTTGCGATTTTTGCTTCTTTCTTACTTACTTCCGCTCCTCCTTACTTCCCTTCTTTCTCTCTTTCGTCCAGTCATTATTTCTCCTTTTAGTTCACGCCCATCCGCATACTTTGTCCTCGTTTCCGACTCCACTTGACTCTGTCCTCCTTCGCAATTATGCACATTCTTTTTCATTACGTCCATTTTATCTTCCTCTTTCAAGGTTCGTGTAACATGCCGAGTGTTCTCCCAATAAATGTCACTACCAATCATACCAAAATTGGCGCAAATTTGTCATTTAAATACTCATGCGATATCTCCGTCTAACATTCATCCAATTCGGCAACGTCGGAATGGAATGTACAAGAATGAATCGAAAGACAAAGAAATCGCAAACGATGCTGAAGATGTTGCATTGCCATGCGGATTGGAAAGATGTACAAATAGCCACACATATGTACATACATATACATACGTGTAATTTTAATAAACAGGAGTAATATTAGTAGCAAGGACAGTTTAACTAAAGGCAGCAATGCTCGAGCAAATGGTGTGAATAAGAAAGGTAAAAATATGACAAAGCTTAAAGCGTTTAAGTAGACCGAAAAGAGACCCACGTGTGCTTGATGTCATTTGGAGAGCATCATCCGCGACACGAGTACGCGGAGCGCAAGACCGTCACTGCCATGGGCGTGGTCTGCGCCTTCAAGCGCCAGAGTCGTATGCATTACAGCCTCGGCAGCTAAGGTGCGCCGTAGCCAATGGGTGGATGGATGGATGGATAGCCTGCCACGGATGCTGTGTGAACGCTGCAACGGACCTACTATGCATCACCTTCAGCACTACATCACATTTACTTTTATTGTTCTCCTGGCAAAGGGGGCAAGGTGGCTCAGGCAATTTTGGGGTGTTTGGAGAGTTGAGGGCTAGTTTTAGGTAAACGTCGTCTGCGTTGACCGGTGGTCGGATTGGTGCTAGCTGCCTGTGGTTGGCTTCTACCCTCTTCTATAGCACGTCAATAAACACTTTTTAATGAGCCTCACTCTTCGGTCGTGTGAGTCAGCCATCAGGTCAGCATGTTGACACTCACCGTGGTCGCAGGAAGCAAAGGGGGTGCACCAATGGGTGGGAGAACGAGCGAGTGATTGGTTGTGCAGGAGGGTGGTGACGGGTGGAGAGGATAGTCCATCTGAGGGCAGTGGTGACACGCTGTGGATTGATGTTGATGCTATTGTGGTTTTCGTTAGTGATGATGGAGGCTGGTGGAGTGCCAACAAATGGAAGTGGACCAAAGTATGCTAGCATATTCATACGCAATTCACTAGTTTGGCTACAAAATTAAGCAGTAGATTAGCCCGTTGCTTGCCTAATAACAGCAGTGACGTCCTAAATATGTGGTGGAAAGAGACCCTTTCTTCTCTCCGTCCCACCTAGTCTCGTCTTTTTCATCTGTGAGCGAAATATTCAGGTGCCCAGTGATAATAAGCTTAACAGCACCTATCCTTTTTTGTTTTCCATCATGCCCTCTGCTGACCGATTTGGAAGTGGTGCTTAAGAGTGGGTAGTGTTCCACACGTAAATTACTTTCGTATAAACTCATCCTTAAGGACCAGAACGTCTGATGAAATGAGAGGCAACTCAAATTTCCCTCCTTTCTTCTCATTTACCATTATTAACTATTTCCCCTCGAGTTATCTTGTAAGGGCCATACCAGAGCTCCGATTCAACTTTGTGGGGGAGGCCACCTTAAGTGAGCCCTTCGATGTAAAAATACCACTCGGCACAATGTAGGACCACACACATTCTTCCAACTTGCAACTCTTTACTAGTAATTAATATGTCAAACTTACCTCCTTGCATTCCCAGAGAAGTGTCATGAGCTATTCCCTTTTTGGCCGACTTCAGACCTCTCGCTTTGTACACCGTCTCCCCACACGCCAAGGAGCGAACTATTCTTGCCCAGTTAGTTTCCGCAAAGCAATTGTCTACGACAGACGCATACACCCCATCCCCCGGTTAGCACGCACCCCTTGGAAGATATTGCCATCATCCATCCCCAGCGCCGGATGTAACATGCTGTCATGGCTTTTAGAAATTTGAAGAGGTTCCTTTGAGATGGAAAAATAAGAGCCGCCACCTCTGCGTGAAAATAACGCGCAACATTCAACAGTAACAAGCCATTGCAACTGTAAGTTTACAGTAAAAAAATTCACGACTTTAGCCTAGCTTGTTGTACAAAAATACCGCCTAAAGTACGCTAATATGTAAAATTTGAAGACTACAGCAATTTCAGCTACTCTATTGCGCTCAAGGAGACAAGACTTGGAGAATAAGAATTTACACGGGGAGGGAGAGAAGAGGTAATAACTCAATGCTCAGAAAAAGTGTCCACCCGGTGCTTGCTCAAGGGAATTGCCAGACCTGCCGACTCCTCAGTGCACACTTCATGAGGCAACCCGTTGAAGGTGTAGGCGACAAAGAGCTGGCGTAACGGACGCCTCCCATGGCATGCCGCACGGCCCAGGCCCGCACAGGGGTCGTAGAAGCCTTGCATATCAGCCCAGCGCCCAGGGGGCAACCGAATCTGATGATTCTCCACTATCACTTGCAGCGGCACCGTCACGTCGATAGATAAAGCCCCTCCCGCATCGGCAGTGAGAGGAATGCCCGGCGTTGTTGATGATAGCTGTCCATAGAGTGCGTAAACAATTACAAGACCCCCGGATTCTTTCTCGGCTCGTGCCACACGAGACGAAGTGTGCTGCATTAGAGCTTGCGTTGCTAAGGCCTCGCTTCGCAGCTGTCGCAATTCACCTCGCAGACGCTGACGACGAATTTCCTGAGCTTTCGTCAACTGTGCCAAAACCCATGGTTCGTAGACGAGACTGCGAACGAGACAGTAGGTCAAGCTTGGAACCAAAACACCGTAGGTGAAAGCAGCGGGGTCAAAGTTATCCGACAGTTTAATTTGCAGCACGTAGGATTGGTCCCCTCTATGTAGTCCCAATTTCATGCTCAGACCGCGCAACCAACTGATACCTATCTCGCTGGAGACTCGAGACAGCTCGGAGAGAACACAGTTGGCGCCAACACGCAGCTCTAGCAGGTCAAAAATATTACAACTAAGAGAAGCGGAAATACGCCCCTTCTGTGGTATCGTCTCTAGCACGAGATCGTCCTCCTCGTCCAAATTTGCATCCCAGTCGGCAGAGGACTTTTTGGAGGTCCAACGGCTTGGGGTGAATGGCTTGAGTAAAGGGTTCAGCCAGGGCCAATCGACAAGCGATTCAAAGTGGAGCTTGAGTGAGGCGGTGCCGTGACGGAGATGAGTTTGCACTCGGCAGGAGCGCTCACCCTTCTCTGACGCCCAAAACACCTCACTAGAGAAACCACCGCTGAGGTTGAATTTGTACTGCAGGCGGGTAACGATGTGAGGTGTCACTTGAATGTTGGTAGCAAGTGAGAAACCGGGAATTAGACTGAAAATCGCACTGTTATTGCGATTCACCGAAGCTGCTTCCAAGCCCACAGATCCTGTTACGCGCTCATGAAGCTGCTTATTCAACTTCACAGAAGCTCCAAGACCATAGCCCCCACGACCATAAGAGAGCTGAAAGAAAGACAAGAATAATCGCGTGTTTTAAAAAACAAAAAAGTGCTTAGGAGCCAACTTACAGTTGTCTCAGTAGAAGAGGCGCCTATAATGGGTGTTTTGGGAGACAAGCGGTGCACCCAAAGGCTAAAAAGCGTGCCTATACCTATCCCGTTGTGGGTGGTCACCTGGCCGACGAGACTAACGGTATTGTAGGGTGTGCGGAGTGCCGTTACCGATTGAGAGACAGAGACGTCGTAGACGGACAGGGAGGGTGAAAGCATGCGTTCCTCTGGTGATTCCTGAGGACAAATTAACCAGTGTAATAATTTTCCTATACAGACCGGATTTAAGTAAGAATAAGAAGAGGCAAGAAAAGAAACATTTTCACGGCTACGAGGTCTGAATAAACATACATGGATAGCAAAATCCAGCAGCAGAGAACCACTAAACAAACCTTGAGATAGCGATCGAAGAAGTCGGTCATATCAACACCGCAAGACAATTCGGAGGTAGGCTGCAACAGATGTTCACTTTCCGCTTCTTTTGCCTTCTGCTTTAACAAGAGGTACTCGAGACGTAATTCTGGAGCTGATTTGTCCCTTACAGCCAGCTCCCAACCTTGAATACGCAGACCTGCAATCACGAGAACTAAGAGTAGAACACCATGAACAAGCTCATTTGTTTAATAAATCTCCCTATACATTTTGTCGATACATACTTTTGGGTCGCTAGCTCTATGTGGAGAATTGATGGCGTTCACTGAACGCACTACGAAGCGTCTGGTCTCACACTTCTACCACCGTTTAGCTTTCGAAGATTCTGACGATTATCCTTCCCTTAACAAAATCAAACTTGTAAAACTGTAGAATTACAAGTTGTGATTTCCGAGAGTGACTCTCTAAAATTCATCAAAACGTCTTTCTCATGTACTCTTCTGCGAACAGGTGGCCATATTTTTTTCACGGTGATCTTCTATATTCGCCTCATTCTGCAAAAGTAATGCAATGATGTGCACGAAACAGCACCCCAAATAGAAGCATTTATTTCAAGCACTACAATTTTACCCTTTAGATTTAATGATGAACGTACAAGAGCAGTGACATCTTGGGCACCAAAAACATTTCCCACAAACCACGAGTTAGCAATCAAATCCTTAGAAAGACGAAGAAGCATCGACGATTGATAATTTTACAATTAATGACAAAATTTCATACTAATTCTCGCCTATTTCTTGCCCCATACTGTTTTGTACAAGGAACATTCCTAGCCAAAGCAAGGAATTGAGGTCTCACTCACCCCTAAAGCCATACTGGTCATAGATGGCGCGTCGATGAGGATCGCTGAGAATGTTGTAGGCGGCCGTGAGACGTCCAAAAGCGGCCTCGGCTGCGGCCGAAGCCCGCGTGTGTTTATCCGGATGGAGAAGACGCGAGAGACGTCTGTAGGCTGCCTTCAGCTCCGCCTCATTGGCATCACGAGCGACACCGAGGACAGCGTACAGATCAGGTGTGGGATCTTCGAACTCGACATCGTTTTCAACTGCGGAGGACGCACCCCCCAACTCTGCCTGCTCTTCCACAAAGGAGAGGAGAGAGGGGTCCACCATACTGCTGTCCTCATCGTCTACATCAATTGAATCGTTCAAAAGCAGAAAGTTCGAATCCGATGTTTGCCGCGGGCTTCCACTTTCAGCGTACATTTTACTGGAGATTCAGCTGAATAAAATACATGAGGAACATTTAGCAAAATTTACACAGGAAAGCCGAAAACAACTATGTGTGCATCAACGATGGCTGGTTGACATTACGAAATGTAGGATAAATTACACACCCTAATAGGCGTAACCAATACGATAATCGGTAGCCTAAGTGTTACTTTACAAATTCGTCAAACCCTACAAGATAGTTAACTTCATTAAGAAATGCAAAGATAATCTAGTTAACAAGGTCTGGAAGGGAAAAGACGATTCATCAAATGCAACTTCTACCCAGTCAGCTTTCAATACGAGAAATCCAGCTAACAACCCTCACTGGTACGGCGACAAGAAGTTACCAATTGCATGTTATTTAAAGATGGCACGAATGTTGATGAAGCAACCTCCTTAAACCATAACAACACCCTCAACTCACATTAAAAAAGCAAAGACGCAACCACCCCCCAGCAACCGAAGGAGCAGGCGATCAAGGAGCAGAATGCGTTTTCGTAAGGAATTATTATTAATGTTCATTACAATGCAACATAGTTGAGAGGTGAAAGGCAAACAAGAAGGGGAAATGCGAACCCGAACGCCTAACTTTAGTCCTCATCTGGAGCACGCGGGTCACGAGGCTTGGGACCACCAGCTGGTCTTGACATTATAATCTGTGATGGAAAAAAAGCTCACGTTGCATAAGAAATGAAGGACGAAAAACTGTGCTTGACTCAGCCAACTCACCTGATCTACACGAAGAACAGTGCATGCAGCGCTAGTAGCAAAACGAATGGCCCAGTACTTTGCTCCATGAAGATCGAGAATATTAGCCTCCTTGGCATCGCGAATGGACGGATCGAGCTTTTCCGTGGTGACAAATCCAGAGTGAATCTGGCCGGCCTGGTGATTGGCGTAGAGTTGAGCTATTATTTCGGTCGCCTTCTCGCCAGCGTTCTCTACCAACGCCTTGGGCACAATCTCGTAGGCGCGAGCGTACTCGCGAACGGCGTACTGCTCTAGACCAGGTATAGTGTCGGCGAGAGAGAGAAGAATGCGAGCAAGCTCAATTTCGCATGCACCGGCACCCGCAACGACCTTCTTACAGCGAGTCAACGCTTTATAAGTGTTTACACCATCGTCAACGGCTCGCTCAATATCGTCCATTATGTTGTCAGTGCTACCGCGGATTACCAGAGTAACCATGGGTTTCTTGCTTGAGCCTGAAATAAACATCCGTACGTACACTGATTCGTGCGATGTATAAAACAGATGACAAAGACATGTCTATACCTTGCTCAAAAATAACAACATTGGTGTCAGCGATTTCGTCAGTACGAACCCGCTCTATGAAGCCCAGCTCCTCCGGGGACGGGATAGTGAGTGTAGGCAGAACAGTGGCACCGGTGGCTTGACAAAGCCGGCGCACATCGAACTTGCTCACGAGACGCACCAGCATAAGACCACGTTTGTTGGCATAGTGCAACGCAAGCTCACTAATCTTACCACCAGACACAATGACCTTCACACCGTCATCGGCAATGCTGTTGATGATCTATACGGCAAAAAGATTTCCGAAAATAGAATGTTTAAGTAAACGAAAGTAACAGAATGAAGTACAAGTCTTACCTTTTCCATTTGACCTTCTTCACCCTTCGAGAACTCCTTCAACTCATCAGCAGTGTGAAGCAAAACAGTGCCCTTGGTTTCGGTTTGCAAGGCTTCTAGTGGGCAAGAATATATGGCAATTTTTGACTGAGTAACAGTATTAACATCGCCCTCGACATCGCGACGAAAAACCATTCCTTGAACCATCGTAGAACTAGTCACACCAGAACCCTATGAGGGAAGCGGAAAATTAGGCGTTAGAATAAATAACTGGAGTAAGCGACTTACCAAAACCTTCAGAACTCTGACATTGTCGACGTTAAAATTGCCATCGTCGGGCATTATAGAAACTGCGGAAAGATTAAAGTCAAAATACGGTGCCTACTGCATGCGGACGCGATAAGCTGAGAAAGGAATTCACTAAGGTCCAGTTGTTTACTCATCAATGAGGTCTTAATAACAGGAGCGACTTCCGAGATATCCTTTAAATCACTTATCTCCTTGACGACAATTTCTGACAGAGATAGACACAAATTCACACCCTACCATCCAAATACTGAAGAGCCTTCTTCCCGGCCATTTCGTAGCCTTCAACTATTTGGGAAACGGATAAGCCCTAAAAGAACAATTAGCCAAATAAAGTGCACTGTTTTGAGGAGGTCTCGAGCGTTATCCAAAAGTGCACCAGCTAGTTGGAAAACCAAATTTGTTCCATCTCCAGCCTCCTGTTCCTGCTGCTGAGTTGCAAGGATTAACATTTTGGCAGCAGGGTGCTGAACTTCAAGTTCTCTAAGTATGGTCGCAGCATCATTGGTAACAAATTGTTTCCCGATGTGATTGATGACTATCTTGTTTTGACCGCTCGGGCCATAGGTAGAGCGCGTCGTTTTTGCTATACTTACACAGGCTTCTATGTTACGATAAACAGCCTCCTCAAGACCTTCAAAGTGCTATAACAGGGTTACGAAGAAGCCGAGAGGTACCCTTGTGCCCTCCTTTAGCATAGATGCATAATTCTGAACTTTCGGCACGTGAAGAGCCATCGTTGAACGCACAACACGCCAGCTAGCAGATTATGTGAGCCTGCGCAATATGGGCTATCGCGAACAAGTAAAGCCTAAAGTAACCATGGGAGTCACCAGAATAAATCTCCGCATTAGTTAGGGAACTCAATTACTAATGGACTGCCTATAATAAGGTTCTGCTATAAATGGACCTGAATTAGCCTTTCATGTTTGATTTCGATTATGACTAGAGTAGCAGTAGGTTCAGAAAAATTCATCAGGGTTGCCAAAAAAAACAGTCGTTCTAAGCTATAAAATGACTAAGTCTAACCCTGCGGCCTATTTTATTTTAATGTATGAAGTGGTATTTATAAGAATTAATTAAGGATATATCTGATGTGTTGATTGGCCAAAATACAAGTTTTAGCCTAAATTGTTCCAATTGCCAAGAAAGGAGTGAAGACCCATGATAATTAATATATTTACCAATGGTTCTTCCGATTCGGTGTTAATAGTACTATAGGATTCAAGGCGTCGACCCACTAATTTTACTTTTCGCGTTCCGAATTGCTGACATAGGCCTAGTAATTGCTGTAACTTATTGGTAATTTCCAGCTCAAATGAGTAGATCGGGTTATGTCAATCGAGCGATTTCCTCGGATCCCCATACATGCTAGCCGCAAATGATTTACTCGTGGCTAGTGTTTACAGTGTGCACTATGAGGTGAAGATTACTTGCTGGTCTTCTGTGCATCCAAGGTCAGTTTGGAGTCTACTACAAATTCTAATAGCAATTGTAATGAGTTGGTTGTTTGTTTAAAAGCCGGTTTTGCTAAAGTGTAACTTTGCCTCAGCTGTAGAACCTCGCCGGGTGGGCTGACTTCCGAGCCATGCTTGTTGTCCTAGTGCCTTCTGTATGTCGAATGCATACATTCTGCCCCATTGTTTTCTTTCGTTTTCAGAGAAGCCTCGGGGTGTTGCAGCAAGCACTGCTTTTAAAAATAACATGCCATTAAAGCGAACCGAATCAATGCCAATGCCAGCACTATTTCACAGTACCTTCGTATAGTTTCCAGTTAGTGGTTTTATAATGCTCCCTTTAGTGTGTAGATAGCTGGGTGAATTTCGTCCGTAGCTCACTTCTCTGCAGTTAACTTGAAGCCATGTTGGCAGATATTCCGAGACCCTTTGCTAATTTTTGTTCTCTTAATGGGTTTGATTTTATCTCGTATAAGTCCTAAAACTTACTGTCTGCGAGGGCGTTTTTCTTTCACTTATTGTTGAATACGTTACTTAGTCGTGTTTCCTTTCTTGACTGGATTGGTTAATACCTCGCTCCGATGGTATGCAGTACCTTGTCAGCTTGTAGCACCATCCACCAGATCCTTCTGAATGACCTGCGCTAACTAGTGGTTTGGCGTGAATTTCCTTTCCCAGAACTCGTGTTTTCTTTGGCCATTTAGATTTGTTTAATGTTGACATTTTACATACTCCCCAACCCTTTGTAAACCCTGTATTTTTCATATGTCATAAATACATGGAAGATTTTTGGCTAAAGTGTTTGCCTTTTGTGATAATCAAATTATGCGCTATAAATTCTGGAGTTTTACACGCTCTGCGGCTTCTTAACCTGGTCTACTAGTATTCAAGTGTTCAAAGATGCTGTTCTCTTTGTTCTATTTGTTTGCTTTCTATCATCAATATGCGTACTACCAAGATAATTAGGCATTTAAAGCCACTAACTCTGTAAGGGTCCAAATTTAGTCGTAGTATGTAGTGGCACTCTTATTAGACTGTTTGGATTAAGCTTATCTGCTATTTTTTACACTGACCGGTTGTACGACAGGGCGCCTGCGATTCTACGAATGTAGACAGTTCCTCCGAAGAACCAATTGGTGAATTCAATGGGTCTGCGATTGTTAAGAAAAGATATCAGTCCCCACTGGCAGAATCTCTTATTGGATGGAGCTTATTCACTGTCCTTGCGCTAAAGGAGTCCCAACTCTCCATCTGTACATTCCTTTGCGGTGCTCTTCTTTCAGAGCACCTCATCATCTACAGAAACCACCGCATACCCGGAACTCGTGTCTCCGACTCACCAGCTGGCGCTTGGCTAATCTCTCTTGTCCCCATTATCCTCTCCTTTCACGATAAAACCATCGCATTGAATCTAATCAGTGCCTCATTAGGCGCTTTTGTCCTTCTTTCCTTCCTCTACACATCGGGAACTTCAACAGCCATCCATTTGTCCCTTTGGTTTATTTGTGCTCGCGTTACCTATCTGACTCCCACCTTCAATATTCTCCTTACTTTCCTCTTCGTCCTTCTCCTCTCCATTGAACTTCTCTCCAGCTATGTGGGTTCGCTAACAATCTGGGAGGCCATTCTTCTAGCCCAAATTTGCTTCGCTTTTCACACCAACACTGTTTTTTTTATCATTCCTCTGCTCTGTGTCTACACGATTGGACGCTTCAAAATGGCACCTAGTTCCATGACCTTTGGGACGCTTTCTATCTCAGCGATGTGGCTGTGGTCGCTGCTCTCCGATGTCGTGGACCACTTGGTGGACGAGGAGTCTTACTTTGATCCAATGTCTGTCCTCCACTTTGAACCACTTCAGTTCATCACAGATTTGATCACCCCCTTGAATATCTTACTTGTTACAACAGTATGGGCACCGTTATGTGTTGTTGCTGTTTTGGTTGTGGCCTACTTTAGTCAAGGTGTTAATGGAAGTAACAAAACACCATTTGCTCTACGCAAACTCTTTCACCTCCTGGCTGGTGTAGTTTATGCAACAGGGCTGTTGGTCTCTCCCACACTGCTCTCGGTGGCTGCCGTCTGCGTCCTTCTCGCCTTCTTTTTGATTGAGTGGACTCGGCGAAGTGGGGTGAGCATCATTTTAATTTTATTCAAGGAAACTTTATAGTCATGAAGTGTGTAAACCTCTACTTGTGCATATATCTCGGCCATTTCTTATTGTAAGCACTGTTATGGAATCTAGTCAAGGTTTAGAAATGTCCTTTGTTACAGACGACTTTTATTCCTCAGGTTAGCCACGCGAAGCAGAAGACCTGACGATCTGAAACCAGTTGCATTTGATTACTGGCAAACCTCTAGAATGTTTGAAATAAGCTGCAAAAGCTGATACGTAAACTTTATTCCCAAATACGTTTCACTGTTTAAATTGGGTAATCATTCGACAAAACTACCTTGTTTTTCATTTCCTATAATTTGGACCAAATTCCTAGTTAAAAACTTGGCATTTCATTTTCATTGACGTGTTAAACTGACGCAATTACGGCTCCTAGTAACTAACCCTATCGTTCAGAGAGGTTGTTGACAAGGCGCTTGATTTAGGTTCAGCTAGCGAAGATGTTTGATCGAGTCTACATTTTTCCTTACCTCGATTTCTTTGACGTTATTGCCTAAATATAATGATTGTACATTGTTTCCATTACCCCCGACACATTGGTACGCAATGTTGCTTAAATATTCCAGTTTGGCTAAATAAAATAGAGTTGTATTGTTTCATTAAAGTAAAAGTAAAACAGTTCGGTCTCCATGTTACTTATTTTTCTGTTCTAGCCTCCAGTGGCATCCAAATTCTTGAATGATGTACTGGGACCCTTTAGAGACTTACGAGATAGTGGTGAACTCATTTTCACTCCCATTGCTCTGCTCCTTGGTTTGAGTCTCCCGGTTTGGAATTTCTGCTATTCGTGGCCTCAAGACGACCGTAAGTCTTACGCCCGTTAAAGTACTATCCAGGTCCTTGAGGTGTTCTTTCATGTTACCCCAAAAATAAACATGTAGAAGACATTTTTCACGTTGTTAAGTTACTGATGCTAGGAATGAAATATTTGGACTTAGAGTAGCAGGGCCGTTGTCTCAAGTAAAGAGCAGCGCAGCAACCGGCCAATGCACGCATTCAAACTTCCTTCAACAATGCTGATTTTGTCATCTTTGTGGTATTGGGGAAGTCTGGAAGGTTGGTGCAAGACAATAAAAACGCAACAAAATATGTTTTCATAGCTTGTTGAATGGAAGTGGAATAACTTTCATTGTTTGCCAAATCATGATCTTTTATCGCCTTAAAGATAGCAGCCAGTTAGCGATCATCCGTCTCTCTGGTTGTACAAACGGCCGTTCAAATTCGGTACTTTTGAAATAACCACAAACCAAATTTGAAAGAGCTCTGAATTTCTATTCGTGACTTCATTATAAATGCATAGGAGGACTGGCGCCTAGTGGCCAATCAATTCATATCTACGCTGGCAGTCTTTGAAATGCTCCGATGTTTCAAATTCTTCGTAAAATATTCTTGAATATATGCAGGAAGTAGAGGTGTTGAAGAGTGGGTCTTATCAAAGTTCATGTGACATTTCTCCCAAGTGCAGAAGAGCATCAGGTAGTGTTGGGTTCGTAACCTTACGAAATGGTGCCAAACATTCTGCTGTCTCTAAGGTAGGTTAGAACCGTAGGTGACGTAGACTGATGGGACGTTTTATTGTCCCATCATGACGCCAATTATTCCTATTTTGTTTTTTTTCTCCCCATCTGATTCTTTTTTGTCTTATTAATTGTGTCACGTATATATGACGTGCGGCCTCAGGTGGAAACTGGGGATTCACATATGTGTGGGGTTGGTGGTAAACGTTTTAAGAAGCTCAAAAGTGCCATTCATGGGATTCTCAAATAGGGTTTGAGAGGTACCCACCACGATACCGACTTCCTTTCGATGTCTGCCATTTGTGTAGGAGGTCTTCCAACGGACGGTAAAGTTTGATTTCCCTCTTTTCCACTCAGCAATACCACCTCAGGCTTGGAGCGGTGTGATAACAATCGCGTTGGGTGACAGCGTGGCGGCTCTGGTGGGTCGTCAGTGGGGTCACCTGTGGTTCTGTTGGCCAGGCACCCATCGCACTCTCATCGGCTCTGGCGCCTCATTCGTATCTCAGGTAGGAACATTCGTTTCCCCACTTGACACATCTTTAACAGGACTTTCTGTCTCACTTTAATTTTTCATCTGTTAGCTAGTTGAGTCTGCAATGTCCCTCTTTCACTTAGTTGAACTTTACTGACCAAACAGTATTGTCGCTGACTTTTTTACATTATAATTGTGCTTCCAACCTCATAGCGATCTTTATAGACGCTATTTGGTATTTTTATCTAATTTAACTGGCTGCTCCCTGACCATAGGCAACAAATGCTAAGGGTTGTTCAGAACGGTTCACCATTTTTTGCTTCTTAGCTTTGTACGACATATCGACATAAATGCTTGTTTTCCTTACGTCAGTGTTTGCTGCTTCTTTCGCCTTTCACAAATCTCTCATCATTCTTCTGACCAAACTCTCAACAGATGTTGTTGTTGGGTTGGTAAGGCTGGACATCACTCATGAAGCCTAAATTGGGCATTCTCTGACTCCTCTCCGTTGACTTTGTGGGACCTGTTGATTAAAGAATCTCGAGAATGGCTTGTCAATGTGCAACAGCATGCAGCGTCATCGCTACTTATCCTCCACCAATCAGCTGGACTAGCATAATGCTGTAAATAGTTCATTAAATCAGTGCCTTTGCTTGCTTCATGACTCGTTACAACTTTCACTGGTAACCCACGCCAACAACTGAACCTGGATGCCAATACACTGTCCGGATTTAAATAGTTTAGGCAAATTCTCCAAACGATTTGGCCATAATTTTTCGGGTGCCTTGTAGATGCTATTATGGGTTGGCCTCGCTGCCTTCTACGGTTGGCCTTGGCGGTCTGGCGTGCTGCCATTGGCGTTTGGAGTGCTGGCAGAGGCCTACACCGAGCAGATTGATAATCTGGCCATTCCCCTTCTCGTGATGTCTCTTTGGCCCTCCTCGTGATTTTACAACTTCTGTGTGTCTGCAAGCCTTCTTCTACATCTATGATGGTGGTCTTTTTTCCATAAAAATCTATAGCTTCTCTTGGATTTTTGTCTTGAAGGCTGATGGGTATAATTCTTGTAGTAAAAAGTATCAAGGAAGCGTGAAGTTTTTGCTCTTCAGGGTTAATCCAATAGATTTCAACGATGCCTCTTTCTGCGCTGTTCTGAGAACGATTCAATGCACTTGACATTTTGCCTAAACAGACGGAATTTGTAATGTAAAGCATCATGAAAATTGGGAAAATGTGGCCGTCTTTGCAGCACCGCCAGTCGATTTTAGAATTAAGACATAATAGTGGGGTGACATAAGTGCTGCTGACATACAAAAGAGCTGGGGGCCTACTAGCATGACTCGGAGGTTACGCTGCTCAGCGAAAGTACATAAGCGGAGCCTTAAGTGTCCGCTAAACCAAAATGAGGAGTTAAGCTAATAAGAGTTAAAGTGTGATGCAGTCCCGCGTTTCAAATGTCGCCTCCGGCGCTCCCCTTGGCCAACCTCCTGAGCCGGTCAGCACAAGGTATTCGGTGCTGTGAGGTAAACACCCACAAACCAACTGCGCCAGTTGATGAATTTGCGTGGAACTGAGGGGATATCTAACTACATCACTGATCCCTCTTAGCAATTCCACTAAGTCTTGAGTGTTACCCCGTTTCGTAACTCTTTTGAGGGAAGGTGTGATGTTTTGGTCATCCCGTGTGCCTACCACTGGTCTGAAAGCAGAATCATTTAATAAAGGGCGGAGTTTAGAATTGTTTTGTAGGGGTAGGGTGTCGTGTCTATTCCTCTTTGTTACTTAGGTCTCGCCTCAGTGCTGCCCAGTCATATGCCTATCTGGGTTCTGTCCAGCTAGCAGAGAGGTGAAGGGGGTACCACGTGTTCCCTTGGTTGGCATCGTCATACAGGTTCCGTGGACCACTCTGTAATGAACTTATCCGGATGGTTAACAGCTAGTGTCGCTTCTGTTGTTAACAGCATTCCTGGAGAATGCGGGACTGCCGTAGTTGCCAAAGATAAATGTCATTTTCAACCCTTCCGTAAGGGGTCGTCGCAAATACTCCCATCGGCACCCTATGGCCTGTCATTCCAAGGTTTAGCATTCAGTAATAGAAACTAGGATGCTTGTCCTTTAGAATCGAGCTTGCATTTCGCTGCCATTAAGATGGCTCCCCGCGTCTTCCCTGAAGTCGTGAGAAGTCATATTACTAGGGCGGAGTGCGCACTGCCGAAAAAGTGTTCTCCAGGAGGGCCATTAACGATTAAAGCGGTACTAGCTGTGAAACATCTGGAAAAGTTCATTATAGAGCTGTCTACGGGACCTGTATGAAGATGTCAATCAAGTAAACACAGGATGCCCCCTCCACCTCTCTACAAGCTGGATAGAACCCAAACAGGTGTGGCTGCGCAGCACTGAATAGAGAAGAAATTGGTAAAGAGAAGCAGACTTGAAACCGCACCCCCACAAAGCTGTCTCAAATACAGCTTTCCTAAATGACTACTTTTAAGTTATGTTCATACGACTAGCGGTAGACATACTTGATGTCCTGTATCCAAGGTACAGCGAATGAATTTTCCAGTTTTAACTACAAAAACTGCCTTAAACCATTAAAACGGTTAGAAGAAACATTGGGCAATCCACGGCCTTGAATCCCGCAGACAGATCGATAATCTCCACGTGTTGAGGAGATCGGAATGTCGTACGCTGTTGAGAAGCTTCGAAGCCAAGTAAAAGACGATGAGAACTGTGTTGATCAAAAACGCATCAAATGGTGTGTCTGACGAATAACAGCCACTTCTACGCTAACCTTCTTTAGGATATGCCTTCCTGGACCGCATCATCCTGGGTATTTTCAAAACTCCACCCTGGTTAGCTGGAGTCTTACTTCTTTCTTAGTTGACTTAATGTGAAGGAGAGCTCTTCTTGATGCCTTGTATAGCTGAGTTACGAGAACCTGCTTACGTCCTCATTGCTAGGCGGAGGCACTTGTGGTCTGCATAGCAATACATCCGAAATTATACAGTAGATTGTCAAACAAGAGCCTGTGAAAGTAGTTGTTCGCTTTTTGACAATGACCTAAGAATAACTTATTATTTAAGCTTGATCAAATAGCTAAAAGTGCAATAATTTTCATGCACCTAGAGCAAGGATGCAAAGCGCATATTCTCCAACAAGCCTGGAGAACACTGGAAGTTACGTCTGCCAGATAAGAGTCCTCTGGATCCCTATCGATTGTGGATGGATGACAGGAGGGGATTTCGGCAGGACAACTGGTACAATGCTCCTAACGACTGTGTAGAGAACATTAAAAAGGTAACGCCTTTTTAAATAATCTGCTGATTCAACAACTCTAACTGTTGCATGACTGTTGGAACACAAACGGAAGCGGTGCGGCTAATCAAAGTAATCGACTAGTCGACCATTAAAAGTGCTCCCAAATACAGATCCATTGTTGTAAAATAAGCGGAGGGCGAAAATAATAAATCTAAGCATGAATCTAGGTAGCAAAGTCAGCTGAAATGAAATGTTATTTCACTACCAGCTGTTAAACATTGTACGTATCATTTTTGAACAACTCAGCGGTGTTTTAAGCACGGAAAACGGTATTATTATTTACCATTGACTTACTTTACCCAAAATAGAATTTTCACACGCCTTACTACCGAGAAAACCATCACAATTTGATTCCACGATCAGAGGAGTTGACCGACTTTTGGGAGAGGCATCCAGCACGTCTGCTCCACGACTATGCCTATCGAGTGCCGGATTACTATCTGAAACGCAGGGAGGAGATTAAGGCTACATGCACCCTCGACTGCCTGCCCCCATTCAAACCGCCTTCAACCAAAAAGGTCGGTGAGGGATGCCTTATGCGATTCCAATTCATGGCGAATAATTATCGCACCTTCGACGATGGTTATGCCGTTGATTTTGATCATTAGGTGCTTACAAATATTGCCTTCGTGATAAACGGGTATGAAATCAGAAGTGTTCTCTGACTTAAAAATGCTGAATTCATAAAAGCGCAAGCCGCCGTCTGCTAAACATTTGCTAGATTTTTATAAAAGGAGGTCAAAATACATTCGTGTTGGCTGATGGATTATAAATGAAATCATCCGGGAAAAAACAACTCACTTCACCTTTTAGCCTTTAATTAGAGAGTTGCAGACTAAGTGGTGTTAGATTGCACGTTTCCTGACATATAAAGGTAGCACATTTTTCTAATGATTTCTAACAAGAGTGCACCTAAGCGTCAGTAATGGAACATTGTCAGCGCAGCCGCATATAAAATGGAAAGCAAAAATATGAATTGCTTGCAAATTTCAAAAGAATGTTCATAAAATAAAAAAACTCTTAGACGTTGCGACAGTACCACTACAATAATTTTCTTTGTGAAACATATAATCAACAAACAGCTAGGCTTTAGTTTTTAATTGTTTTTAAAAGGCTTACAACACAATTTCAATTCGAGACTAACTTGTTTATGCCTAGTTGGAAATATCATGACCACCCTGTCAT